TTGAGGTGGGGGGAGTCGACCCGACGCGAACATTCTTCTGAAATGAAAACAGCAGAGAGCGAAGAAAAAAACACAAATTCCCCAAAACATTTTTCACAGCTCTCGGTTTGCTTTTTAAATTCCTTGTTTTTTGTCGCGTAAATCTCGCAGCGGCCGGTTTCGGGAATAGTTTAGCCCTCCGCATGCTATCGCGGCCAAGATATTTAATAATTCATTGCTGCTTCATCCCCAAACCCAAAATAGCTTTTCGGTGTCTTAAAAAAACAAACGGCGAGGCGCTTTTGGGTTCCCTGATAATCTTTTTGCAGCAGCAGAAGAAAAAAAAACCTGCAAAGGATTAAAACTGCTTCCTGTTGCTCCACCGGCTTACGGGGTGTCATGAAATATTTACCGAAGGGGAACTCTCAGTTCTTGCCAACGATTATCACCAGTACTTGAAAGGAAAAAAAAACGAAACCCAAAATTTCCACTACCCCCCCCCCACCCCCCCGCGTAACGTTCAGTCGAGTTCTACACCACGCGAGGGTCCCTACTGGACACCTGTGAAAAAGAGCTTCATAGCTTATCGGATTTCTCAGGGCTCGCTCATGAAAACGAGCTCTCACCCGGCTAAAAAAAATGAAAAATCGACTTGAAACTTGAACACACGGCTGGGAGTGCTGCCATCGATTCATCGACTGGAATCGATTCTCACACTCGTGACGCAAGACGCCGGCTCCTGTGTCGTGCGCGTTCGCCCCCTCGTATGCCGTGGGAGATTTCCCCTGCGTTTTCCCGTTGTCTTCCCCGTGAAGATAAACGTCAATGGAATTCGCCCAGCATCACCAATGGAGCAGCACGCTCCCGATAAAGGAATCTCTGAAGTCTCCGAGTAGTGGCTTTCATGGATGATTGACTAGAGGCGCTGTCCTTCGTACGATTAGCACGGCTGGCTACGTACGCTGCAAAAGAAGTTCAGCACGCGTACATGCGTTCCAGGACTTGTGTATGAATGTCTGACTCTTCCGTCGGGTACGTGGGCCGCGTGACCGACCAGTCGACGTGTGGAAGGTGTTTTCTGGTTCAAAGACTGCATCCTCGTTTCTGTTGCCGATCGCGCCATCGCGCGTGGTCACTTGACTCTAGGAATTTGCTGTCCGTGTAGGGTCGGTGAGGTCTTGCAGTCGTTTTAGTGAAATTTTCTGTCCCGCTCCGCAATGTTTATCGCGATTGCGCCGTCAGCGGTCGCGTGGGCACGAGACGAAGAATCCTTTTGGAAATGTCGCGACCCTTCGTGTTCGGAGAGCAACCCATAGACGAGGGTATCGCAGACCTACCTCTGAGGTCTCTTCCAGCGACCTTTGGTCCACAGAGTCAAGGGCGGCACTCTGCCAAGTGCCCTGCTTCAAAGAGCAATGTTCGTCGCGCGACCGTCAAACTTTTATTTTTAAAGCTCCGAGCTGGTATTTGGCTGAATTAAGTGCAGAGCTAATTTTTTTTTTAACATTCGTTGGTGACCTGAATTTAAACCCAGGATCTCACCGCAGCATGATGACCTCTGAGCCGTCCAGCCACTCCCGCCTCTTTGTAAGGCTATGGTTGTCTTTGTAAGGCCATTGGGTCTCTTTGTAAGGATGTGGGTCTCTGTGTGAGTCTGTGGGTCTCTACATGAGCCTGTGTCTTTCTGTGAGTATGTGGGTCTCTGTGAGTCTGTGGGTCTCTCTGAGCCTGTGGCTCTCTGTGTGAGCCTGTGGGTCTGCGCTCTGTGTTCGCTGTGCTTATTTAAACAAAATTTCTCGCCTGTTCATGAAAGTCTTCCCCGTCCGTTTGACTCAACATCGACTTGTACAGAAGAGGAATGCTTTGTTTGGAATCATCACGCGGTGAATGTACAGTCCCACTGCTGGATGGAGGCCTCCCCACGTCCGATTTGTCACAGGGGGTTGTTTGACCATACTTCACCACGCTGGTCAGTGGGGATTGGTGAAGGGGGTGGGGGAGGCATAGCACCGGTTCAGGTGCTGGGTCCGGAACACAGTTATTGCAACAACAACAATATTCTCTTCTTGGTTCTTTCGGTAAAGTCACGTAGAAGGGAAATAATAAAATAAAACATAATAAAAGAAATGTTTTATTTTTATTATTTTCCTTCTACGTGACTTTACCGAAAGAACCAAGAAGATGAATCCCTGCAGCCACGAAAGCTTTAAATCGAAATTTAACAACAACAACAATAATGAAAGAACGAACGAACGATGCCGTCGCTTGCTTCGCCACCGTCTGAGACCCCCCCCTCGCTCCCCCAGCCCCGGCTCGTGTCCCCAACGCCCCTCGACCATCAACGCCAAACATGGAGCTGCCTCTGGGCTTTTGGTCGGCGGGACTCGGTTTCTGACGTCAGTCACTGGGGCGGGGGGGGGGTGAAAGGAGTGGGGGGGGGGGAAGGAGTGGGGGGGGGAAAGGAGTGGGGGGGGGGAAGGAGTGGGGGTGTTGGAAGGAGTTGGGGGGGGGGTGAAGGGAGTGGGGGGGGGGGTTGGAAGGAGTGGGGGGAAGGGAGTGGGGGGGGCCTTGTGGTTGAGCTTCTCTCGTTGGGGCCGGGCCACTGGACCTGTGGGTAGAGATGGGATGGGGAGGGTCAGAGGCGAGAGGGGGAGGGAAGAGGAAAGGATAGAGGAGGAGGAGAGGGGAGTTGTGTATGTGTTTGTTTGTATGTATGTTTGTCTGTGTGTCTGTCTGTATATGTGTGTCTATCTGTTTGTCTGCATGTCTGTGTGTGTGTGTTTGTGGGGAGCGGTGGTGTAGCGGTTAGCGCGCTGCGCTACGAACTTGGCGACCCGGGTTCGATTCCCGCTCACGGCCAACACCAGTGACGATTATCTGAACTGATCCTGGGCCTTCCCTAGGTCGACTCAGCCTCAAATGAGTACCTGGTGTGATGTGTAAACATCGCCACTGGGGAGACAAAGGCGGCCGGGCGTGGTGATGTCCACCCACCCCCTCGTGTGCCATGCTGGCCTTCATAGGTGCTCGCTAGCAGCACTTGCCCCTACAGTCTGTTAAGGCTATATGGGGGATCTTTGATCTTTGTATGTTTGTTTGTGCAAGAATGAGCACTTGGCTAGCAATAAGTAGACTACAAGTCCATATGTCTTGCCGTCATTGTATTCATCATCGGCATTGATTAAACCAACACTGACTTCATTGCCAGTATTTTAGTATCATTGTTATTCCCTTAATTTTTATTGGTAATATCTGGTTATCATCGTAAGCCCCACTTTTGTTATCATCATCATCATCGAGCTTCCGGGATGCAATTTCCGAATTGTTAAAATCTCCAACTTTTGGGATCTTTCCACCCACAACCCCCCACTCGGCAGTTTGCGGGACACGTTCCCTCTCTCCTCCACCACCCCGCGTGCTATCGGGGGCGCGCTGCCCCCCTTCCCCGGGCCAGAGGTTCGCTTTCGTAACGGACCCCAGGAATTCTCATCCGCTTGTGCCACTCCATCTCCCCAGCGGCTGAACGAGACGCCCACCCGGCCCACCCGCCCGCCAGCGTTCAAGCGTCGCCCGCGTTCTGTGTTTTCGGGGCGCCCGTGTTTATCTGCCTTGCTCAGCGCTCGCCCGCGCGCCTCTCCCTTGGCCAAGAGGAAGCGATGACGCGGCGGCTCGCGCATCCTGCCCCCCTCGCCTCCAGGATGCGCCGTTACAGGAGCGCGCCTTCACTGGCCGCTTACTTTATTGACCAAACGCTCGCACTCGGCACTGTACGTGTGTGTCGAGCTTCTTCCGCACCGCAAGTAAACAACCGTGCTCAACACAAAAAGCCGTTTTGAAGAAATGGCTTTTGAAATCTAGATTTAAAAGTGCATAGCTCCAGTGGTTTCCTAATATCGGAAGGAAGTGCGTTCCAGACGGCGACAGAAGCACAACACGAAGTTCTTTACCGCCGCGGGGCCGGCGTTCATTCTGCCCGTGGGAAATGAGCGTCCAGAAATATTTGCCGGCTCTCTCTGAGCCGAGAGTTACGCGTTGATGCGTGGCGTCGGCAGCTCGGAGGAGTTTCTGCCTCCCACGTGCTTCCATTCCGCCGCGCCTCTTCTCTGGGTCACATCGGAATCTCCGTAATTGTGACTGGAGAAATCCGATGAGCTATGAAGCTCTTTTTCAGAGATGTGCGGTTGGGGCAGGTCAGACCGTTACAACAACAAACAGTACGCAAACACGAGTCGCTTAAAAATATACCAATTAAACTATTTTTAAAAATCTTTGCAGGTAAAGGCCCCCCCACTGAGGTTATGAACTTATTTTCCAGAAGCGACCTGGCAACAAATGATGCCCTTGCATGGAGATCCACACACTTGCGTACTCTTACATGGTCCACAGACTTGCGTACAGACCCACAGAGTTGTGTACTCCTACACGATCCATTTCCACGCGATGCCGCGCAGAGGGCAGAGTGCGCAAAGAAGCGTCGGAGAGACGCACACTTGGAATGTACACCGGGAGACACGAAGAGGAGCACTGAGGAGAGTGAGTGGACATAGACAGGGACTCGTCACAAGAAGAGTGAGTGGGCATTGACAGGGACTCGTCACAAGAAGAGTGAGTGGGCATTGACAGGGACTCGTCACAAGAAGAGTGAGTGGGCATTGACAGGGACTCGTCACAAGGAGAGTGAGTGGGCATTGACAGGGACTCGTCACAAGAAGAATGAGTGGGCATTAACAGGAACTCGTCACAAGAACGATCTCATGGCCAGAGACCAAGTCCCGGGCCTTAGTGGCATCACGAGGGCGAAACTACGGCCTGGATCACGCTCGCCGCGGAGACGGAACCGCGAAAAACCGGCTCCGTGAGCGGGCGCTGGGCGGATGCTCTTGTCGTGAGACCGTGAGGGGTGGTGCCAGCTTGGGGAAGCCTTCGTCCAGGAGTGGACAGATCACGTCTGTTCGTGGTGAATAATTGTGATTAGTTTTTAATGACGATTAACAGTGATACGTTTCCTGTCTCTCCCTCAGGACGGCTTTGAGGCCTTGGTGCAGGACCTGGACTTCCCGGCGTTGCGCAAGAACAAGAACATCGAAAGCTTCCTCAACAGATGTAAGTCTCGGGATGCCGGCGCTCCAGAGCTTGACCGCTCACGGCTTGGGAAGGCCTTCATCCAGCAGCGGATTGACCGTGGCTGATTCTGATGGTTGATAACCAACAGACCCTGTGCTCGTTGTTGTCGGTGCTGGCTCGTTGCCTCCGACGTTGCCGTCACGAACCCACCGAGCCCCCTACATCCCACGTGACATTTTCTAGAATGAGTCCGGGTGGCGGTGGCTACGCTGCTGCTGCTGCACGTGGCTGCCCGTAATCCAGCACCGTGGAGACAGCGGCGAGGGTTGGTGGACCACATACGGATGTTGCGAAACTCCCTTCCCGTGGGCGTCGAGGAGGAAGCCCGTACCCTGGCTCGCCGGTAGAAGACAGTACAGCAAATGTGGACTCGTGTCATCCGTGTCTTCTGCGTGGGATAGCTTTGGCCCCCTCGCACGTGTGAGTTTTCTCTGGTTTCCTCCCGCATGTAGTAATCGCTCACGAATTGGCTGGTAACACCTTGATGTATAGAGGACGGCAGAGCTTGGCTCCTCGGAGCTGGGAGTCGTTCTCTTCCTGCGCGGGCGAGTACTGCCAGGGCAGGCGGGGGAGTACCACGGGGAGGGGGCGGGCGGGCTGGCGGCCGAGTACCACGGGGGGGGGGGGGGGCGTGCAAATGAGTACCGCCAGGGCAGGCGTGCGAGTATCGTGCAGTGGCGCCGTGTTACAAGCTGACGTCGCGTGCGCAGCGTCAGCAGTAAAACTCAACGACACTTCCCGTCGCCGCGTCGTCGTTACGACGACGACGCGGCGACGGCTACCACCGCCCCCCCGCTCCCCCCCCCCCCCCCCCAAGGCAACATTTCCTTATACACCGACGCATCCAGGCTGACGCGCGTCACGTGTTTATTGACGCGCTTGGAATATTTAATGATAACCCATGCGAGTAAATAAATGATTAATAAATTGTTGAATTGACAGCCCCCTTTTGCCGTTCCGCCGTTGGACGAAGGGCTCCCCCACGCGGCAGCGCGCCCCGTTCGGTTGTAAGGGTCGTTGGGCCACATCTCGTCGCTGGCCTTCATCCAGCAGTGGATGGGCCATGGCTCAGTCCGGCGTTGAACCCAGTCCCTCGCGAGGTTACGCTGAAAGTCCTCCGCTGGCCGTTGTCCACCCTGGCCAACGTGCGATGACTGCTGCCGCAGTACCGTGCCTGGGATATGACCGCATGCGTGCAGCCCTTTTTACAATCTACTGCTGGATGAGGGCCTCGCCGCGCCGCGTGGGGTTGTGAGGGGGCTATTTGACCGTACTTCACCACGTTCGTCCGTGCCGGTTTGGTGAAAGGCAGGGAGCATCGTTGCTGGAGCGTAGAAATGCAGTACAACAATGGACGTTGCGGGACTGCCCTCTGGTGACAACGTAGCCTGCAACACGCCGCTTTTTAAGCCTGGTGGTGCCACAAATCCAAGCGCTATCCAGGCTCAACCCAGCTTAGCTTCCGAGATCCGATGATTTCGGGCGCATTACGGGTAATGTGATCACATGTGCACGTAGAATACTTGAATTGCGTGTGTGCGTGTGCCGCTGCGAATTCGACAATGCGATCGTCTGCCTGGGCCGACTTTAGTTCGCTTAGATTCATGTCTGTGCAGTAGCCTTGGTAGCTCATGCGGACGCGGTGGTTTCCCCTCCGGTTTATAATCGCAAAATGTTGGTGTACCCTTCATTGTTATTCTTCTTCTTATTATTATTTATTTGTTTTGTCATCGCTTTCATCGCGACCCACGTCAGTCACTCTCGCACACAAAACGAGACTCATCCTGGTTCCCCCGGAGTTGTCGTCAGCTGGCCACGTGACAACATCAACTTGACACTTGACCCGAGTGCTGTTGGAAATCACTTGGTGGGGGTGGGGGGGGGGGAGATGCTAGCGTTGTCGTGGATGTGACGAGCCCCCCCCCCCCCCCTCACCGACACACCGCTGCTTGAATAATTGACGTTGCTCTTCATCGGCGGGGAGCAGCCCTTGAGGTTCCGTCTTGCATCCCGGGAGGTCCCGGCGAGGTGGCAGATTCGTAATGAATGCCACTCGAGACGTACGAACAAGAGCGGCAAGATGAAGAATTACAATCACTGGGCAGTAACACCGCCGCTAAGCGAGGGAGCAAACAGACTTGGCCGTTGCAGCACCGATGCTCTGGGACAACCTCGTTTCCTCTCTTGACATCGTCAGGTCTGCCTTCATAACCAAATATCCTGAGGCAGAAGATTGTTGCCGGATACGGCCCACATTTTGCAAATGTGATTTGTGACTTTATCGATAGTTCAGTGTTAATGTAATTGAGGGACTGTTTGTTTTTGTCTTGGTGTGGTCTGGGTTTATTGTTGTTGTTGTTGTTTTGGTGTGGTTAATAACTTGTTGTCTTGGTGTGATCTGGGAGTTGTTGTTGGTGTCTTGGTGTGGTCTGGGATTGTTGTTGTTGTTGTTGTTGTCTCGATGTGGTCTCGGACTGTTGTTGTTATTGTTGTTTTTCTGCCTTGCCCAAGCTTGCATTTGGTGCTGCTAAATCGGCAAGGATGTATGTACTTGTGCAATTTGCACTACTATGTTTAATTTAAATGTCTTTATTTATTTTGAGTGATTTGCTTACCTTTTCCCCATCTTGCTCTCATATTTATTTATTCATCGTTGTAACTTGCTGAGCCACCCCTACTGGACATCTGTGAAAAAGATTCCTCCAGGATAAATAAACGTTCTGATTCTGATAAAGTCTATGAGAGGAGACATTCCAGGGTGGCTAGGAGATGGTAACTACCTCGCCTGGTATACAGGAGGTCGCGGGTTCGATCCCGACCCTGACACCAGTATATTTGGAGTTTGCGTGTCTCTCTCTCCGTGGTCGCGTGGATTTTCCTTTGTCGTCCTCCGGTATTTCCCTCCACAGTCAGAAATATTCGTTTAGAGTATTTGGCTGCTATACATTTCCACGTTATAAGCCACTTCGTTGAGCTATCATTTGTGGCAGGGTCGCTTTTGAAAGAGAGCTACGCAGCTCGGTGGGCCTTACCTGGTAAAATTAAATATTGTTTTAGTTTATAGTTGAAGTAAGGAGTCCGAGACAGTGATCCGTGACCCATGGGGCTTGTTGCCCTGAACGTTGCCTATCGCATGCGTTGTCCTTCGGGGCGTCGTTAGTGGTGAATCATCGAGTTGTCTTCATTGTGTCTCCTTGTGCAACACTGCCGGTGAAGTGTCACCCACTCGTTGTTGCGTACGAGCAAAATCGGGACCCATAATCCACTCTTAAATGTGCACTCAAGGTATATATGTGATTTCTACACATCTCAAATGCTTTCTTTTTGTTACAGCCATTTGTCAATTAACAGCTGAGTGAAGGCCTCCCTCCCCGCACGATGTTGTCCGTGCCGGACAGCGCTGTGGCACAGGACTAGTTCGGATTTCACTCGCCACTGATGTTAGCCGTGTATCGGAATCGCACTCGGGTTGCCAAATTTATAGCGCAACGCACCCACTGCAACACTACCGCTCCGTAAACACACACACACACGTGCACTCTCGCGGTCTGTCGCTATTCAAATGCCACGGAGAAGACTCGAAGTGCGTGAGTGTAATCCTCCGCTGCTGCCTCCTGCATTATTAATCGCGGGTTGACAGCGCAATAAAGGTTGTCATGGATGGGCATTAACACATTTCTTGCATTGTGCAATGTTATTCATATTATTGTAAGAGCTTGGGGAAAACAGACGGTGAAGATGATGATGGGAGGAGGAGGAGGAGGGGGAATTCCAAGATGGAGCAGTGTGAGGGAAGAAGCTGAACTATAAGCGTTGTGAGGTGTTGTGTGGTGAGCGGGTCGGCGGACGAGCGGGCGGGTGAGCATGCGAGCGGGTGAGTGAGTGAGTGAACGAGCGAGCGGGTGAGTGAGTGAACGAGCGAGTGTAAGTGTGCGCGAGCGAGCGAGTCGTTGTCGACACTGCGGTCGGTGAGGTGAAGCGGGTCGGTGTCTGGTCGACCTTGGTTGAGCGAAATCGAGTTGAAGCGTGCGCTTTGGCCAACGGGACACCGCCCGCGTGTGTCACCGCACAGATGAGAAGGCGGTGGGCAAGGTGCGCGACCTGCGCATGAACGTCCACGACTTCGAGCTCCTCAAGGTCATCGGCAGAGGAGCCTTCGGTGTGGTACAGCTGGTGAGTTTGGTCGCTGTGCCATCCAAAGTCGCTCTTTGATGCAAATTTGTGGATTCTTTACCTTTGATTATGACGATGACGATGATGATGGTCATGGGTCAGAAACCGGAATAACAAGAAGAGATTTTTTTCGAATTCCGTAAAAAAACCTCAATATTTCAATAGCCGCAGTTGCATGTGAAATACAAAACGGTGGCTCCTTAATAAATAACGTCACAAATCAGTCCTTACAGAGCCCCGTTTCGGCTCCGGAGCCACAGGTTGGCGACCCCTGAGCACGATGATATGACGTGCCTCATTATGATGATGATCGTGATGATGATCACGATGATATGACGTGCCTCATTATGATGATGATCGTGATAATGTGACATGCCTCATCATGATGATGATCGTGACGATGATCACAATAATGTGACGTGCCTCATTATGATGATGATGATGACGATCACGATGATGTGCCAGCGCCTCATATCCCGGTGCCCCTTGGCGCGACGCAGGTGCGGCACAAGCAGACGCGGCGCGTCCACGCGATGAAGCGGCTCAACAAGGGCGAGATGCTCAAGCGCTCCGACTCGGCCTTCTTCTGGGAGGAGAGGGACATCATGGCCTTCGCCAACAGCTCCTGGATCATCCAGGTTCGACTCCCGTCTCGTGCCGCCCCCACCGCCACCGCGTGGCCGCCGGTGATCGTGGTGATAATCGCCGTGAGTGGTGGGTGGTGCAGCGGTTAGGCACGCCGCGGTACGATGCCGGCCCCCCTGGGTTCGACTCCCAGTCACGGGTAGCGTCGCTCGCCGCCAGGGGTGGCACCTCTAAGGCACAACATGCCAGGAAACTGTCGTCGTGGGAAGAAAGAATATTTAAGAATACGGGAAGTGCGGTGGGAGTAACAGTGTTTAGTTCTGCATGGAAAGAGAGGAAGAGCTAACAGAGAATGGGTTGACGACGGCATTAAGAGATTGGTGCTAGGAAGATGTGGCCACTACTTGACCCATATTGACACAAGACAGAGAAGAAAGCCGAAACAAATGACGGAATGTGCAGTGGACACCTCCGGGGCGATCTGCCCATGGATCGTGATGATGAATTTTACATCGCGTCGTTCACGAAAATTGCATCTCACAATGGAGCCCACCCCCTCTCCCCCCCACGCTCTTTGCCCAGCTGTTCTCAGCGTTCCAGGATGAGCGCTACCTCTACATGGTGATGGAGTACATGCCGGGGGGCGACCTCGTCAGCCTCATGAGCAACTACGATGTCCCCGAGAAGTGGGCACGCTTCTACACGGCCGAGGTGGTGCTGGCCCTCGACGCCATTCACTCCATGGGCTTCATCCACCGGTGGGCGCCCGCCACGGCCATGGTGCCACCAGGATTGACCCGTAGGCCAATGAGGCCTTAGGCCCTCATATTGTGTAGGCCCTCCGTTCCCTGTTGAAGTAACAGCGGAGTGACGGCAGTGCGGCTAGTCGTTAAAAAAACAAAAAAGCGTCTTCGTTGACGGCGTTCGTGACTTTGCGACCGCTGAAGCTTGGAGAGAGTGAGTGAGTGATGCGTGTGGCACAGTTCGGTGCCAGCTATTGTAGGGTGCGGTCGTGTCGTTACAGTTCTCTGGGGTGAGTACAACAACTTTAAAAACAATGGCGCCGCTACGCCTCTCTAAATACAATTAACCCTGGACCGCTTGCACGTTATGAGATTCGGGGGCGAACGGGACACCACCCACCCTGCAAATTTGCGGACGTCATCGGGACGGGAAAGGGTTAATGGGTGCACGCTAACAGTAAATGCCCCAACGGTGTCCGTTAAAGGCTATGCAGTGGACCTCTTTGTGTGGGCACGTGTGTCTTCGGTGCAGGGACATCAAGCCGGACAACATGCTGCTGGACAAGCTCGGCCACCTCAAGCTCGCCGACTTCGGCACCTGCATGAAGATGGACGCCGTGAGTGACCCGCTTAACCGCCCACCCCCACCCTCACCCCCCACTTGGCCTTCGCCGGCTCGCCTGGCCACCTTTGTCTCCCCAAGTGGTGATCAGGTTTGCTGCTTCGCGTGTAACCAGGGGTGAGGAACTCAGCGGGAGGGCAGGACGAGTCTCGTTCGCAAGAGTGGCGAATCGAATGAAGTACAGCGGTGCAACAATTAGAAATTGGCACGAAAATAAATGTCCCATGCGAACAGCACTTGCCTCAACAGTCTGGTCAGGCTATTGGGGCATCTTTAGCTTTGTTACAAATATGCATGCGTGGATGTTTAAGTGTGCGGGTGCATATTTGTCCATGTGTACCTCTGCGCGTGCCCGTGTATAAGTACACTTACCCGTGCGTCAACGCACTCGCGCACATAAACGTGCACGCGGTCGACTCGGCCTTCAATGAGGACCCGGTGCGGCGCGTCAACATCGCCACTGGGGAGACAACGGAGGCGGCCGGACACGTGACGCTGGCCGCCCCCACCCCCTCGTGTGCCACTCGCTGTGACGGCACTCGCCCCAACGCCCCCCGTTAAAGGCTCCGTGGGGGGGGGCACCTTTGTCTGCGCAGGAGGGCATGGTGCGCTCTAACACGGCGGTGGGCACGCCGGACTACATCTCCCCCGAGGTTCTCAAGTCGCAGGGCGGGGACGGCTACTACGGCCGCGAGTGCGACTGGTGGTCCGTGGGCGTCTTCCTCTTCGAGATGCTCGTCGGTGAGCCGTACGCGACGACGGCCGAGCGACCTTCCCACACCCCCCCCTCCCCCCCACGCCCCCCCCCCACGGGGCTCGCGTCCAGAGGCGGCGGGAAACGCGGCTAGAATTGGCGCCGAAAAAAATCGCCCGAGGCTCTGTGGTCCTTCTGTGGTCCTTCTGTGGTCCTGTTTGGCTACGACGAGCCGCGACCACGTGGCGGCCGTCGGGCTAGGTCAGTGCGGCCGCCCTGGGTTGCGCGATCGATCTCTGGGTCACGTCGTCCACCGACTCGGGTCATGTGATCGCGCCCCCCTTCCCCCCCCCCCCCACGTCACACTACTGCACCGCACCGTACACATGACCACCCCGTGTCGCAAGACTGCTCCATGTTACATGTGACACGGGGAGTGTTGTTGGCGTGGCCGAACCGATACCACCAACACGTTCAGTGACACACATTGGTTACCAAGATGTGTATGTGTGTATGTACGTTGAACTTCTTTCACACCGTAGGAGCCAACCGCACTAATCGGAAGTGCGGACGAAGGACAACAAACTAAACACAAAAATCAGCTCCTAAAGAAATCCGTTTTCAACCTATATTTGAAAGTCCTTAGCTCCAGTTGCTTCCTGACATCGTAAGGAACGTCCCAGATGCTCTTCCACTGTTGTGCAGTTTGTTTGACACGGTCTTCACGAGCCCCCCGAGATAGGGAAAGAGACATGCACAGCCCCAGGGCTTGGACCCAGGATCTTAGCAGTACTGGCTCACTGCACGTGGCCATTATAATCCCCCCTCCCCCCCCCCCCTCTTAGACCAGGGAGTGAATCGGCCCCAGGGATAGCTCCCAAAATCTCAGAATTGCTGGTTACCGCCCAGGCAACCACCAAGTTGCTGATATACACGCACACAAAGTCAAAGATACCCTGTGTAACCTACACAGGCTGTCTTGGCCAAGTGCTGTGTTAGCAAGCATCTGTGAAGGTCAGCACGGCACACGAGGGGGTTGTGTGGCTGGCTCTCATGCCTGGCCGCCTTTGTCTCCCAAGTGCTGATATTTACTCGGTGCACAAAGCCGAGTATACGTAGGGGAGGGCACAGCCCCGGTTCCGACATTCGATGCCGGTGTTGGGCATGAGCGGGAATCGGACTCGGGTCGCCTCGTTCGTAGCGCAGTGCTCTTAACCGCTGTGCCACCGCTGCCTTGCGTGCACGCACGCACACACGCACACACGCACGCAGGCGACACCCCGTTCTACGCGGAGTCGCTCGTGGGGACGTACAGCAAGATCATGGACCACCGCAACTCGCTCTGCTTCCCGGACGATGCCAGCGTCTCCAAGGAGGCGCGCAGCCTCATCTGCGGCTTCCTCACCGACAGGTGCGAGACAGTTGTGGAGCCACGGGGGTTTGAATATATATATACACACGTTGGCCCCAAACAATACGAATAACCCATCCCCTTTTTCGATTTAAAGCTTTTATGACTGCAGGGATTTCTCTTCTTGGTTCTTTCGGTAAAGTCACGTAGAAGGGAAATAAAATAATAAAAATTAAATAATTCAGACGCTGTCTTTCCGACAGACCTGTTCTTCACCTGAGGACGGCTGCTTGCGTTGTGGCCGAAACGTCATAAGAATTGTATTTTATTATGTTTTATTTTTATTATTTTATTATTTTCCTTCTACGTGACTTTACCGAAAGAACCAAGAAGATGAACCCATCCCCTCCCAATGTGCAGCTGTGCAAGGGCGCCCCCATCGTTGGTCACGTCCGCCATCTAGTGGCGACAAAAAAAACATGTTACGCACGAATAGCAAGGTCGCTCGCGCCGTTCGAGATTTACAACGAAATTGTGGCCACGTGCAGCCCTGTTGTTTGTCTAGGCCACTGCTGGATGATGAGCCCTCTCCCCCCGTGCTGTGGGCAGTGGGAGCGTGGCATCGCTGTGCAGCGGTGGATTTGCTGCCACCGGCTTCTGTTGACCACCGCGTGGCTCCACAGCAGCCTGTGGCCTACTTCTCTAATGCGTGGAAGTTGCCCATCAAAGCCGATGAGCAAATCGACTCGGAATTGTGCCCGATCTCATCGATCTCATCGGGTGCATTCCTAATTGACCTTGGTCAATCAAAAACGATGCAGGGCTCTACCCTGCGCCCACACGTGTGGACTTGTATCATCGAGTGCAGGGTAGATTCCTGGATCGTTTTTGGTTTTAATTTCCCTAAATTATGTTCCAGCACGCCGGCACGGCGATTATTTTTGTTGTTGCTGCTGTGGATTACACCTGCAAACCAGCACCGTGGAGGCAGCGACGGATGGTAGATCACAGAAACGTTGCTAAACTCCCTTCCCGTGGGCATCGAGGTGCCATACCCTGGCTCGTCAGAAGGCAGTACAGCAAATGTGGACTCCTAACATATGTCTCTTTGTATGGGATAGCGTTGGCCCCTTTCACACCTGTGGGTTTTTTTTCCGAATTGTCTGAAAACATCTTAATATATAGAGGACCACAGAGCGTGGGTAATTGTTGGTAGCGTCTCGGCTTGTGCGCCACGTCCGCTGCACGTGACTGCGTCTCCGCCCCAGCACGTTGTTGAGGACTCTCCGTTACGGTGGCCAGAATTGGAGTTAGAAGGCTCGAGTAGGAAGCCATCAATCTGGTCGAGTGACTCGGATATTGGCCATCGATGGCAAACTCCGGAAGACGGAAGGAGAGGACCTTGTCGCGACTGCCCTCTGGTGGCGGTGGCGTGAATATTTGTTTTCACTCGGGCCGTGTTTTTGTTTACGTGGGTCAAAGTTCGTAGGTTGTGCGTGGCTCATCATGGTAGATCATGGTACCTGGTCGGCTCTTGCCATGCGAGGATCGTCCCGGTCTCAACGGCGTCAACACATTTCAGACGCTGTCTCCCCGACGGAACTGGTCTTCACCTGATGACGGCTGCTTGCGTTATGGCCGAAATGTCGCGTGAATTATTTTATTATGTTTTATTTTATTATTTTTATTGTTTCCATTCTACGTGACTTTACCGAAAGAACCAAGAAGAAAAAACACAAACCACTTTGAACCTGACGGACGAATGAGCTTCCTTCTCGGACAGACGCACACGGAAGTGTTGGGATACCGCGCTGGCAGTGATGCACCAGCACGGATATCGAATAACACGACACGATCGTGAACACCACCGTGGCCCGAATGAGGAAACGTTGTACAAGGGGTGGCATTTTGCGTCGCGAGGATTTGGGCGGCCTGTGACCGCCTTGTTCTAGTTCCTGCCGAGGGCTTCTCGACACTTCGCGCCTCTCCCGTCGCCCCCACTGATGTCCTCTTCTTCCCCCCCCCACTCCCCCAAAGTGCGCAGACACTACTGACTCGACCGCATGTAGGGCAGAGGTCGCAAACGGGTTTTGATTCCTTACCCATACCCGTACCCGGCCGCACCAGGGTCGCAAATGGGTACCCGTACCCGGCCGGGTACAGGTACCCGTTCCCTACCCGTACCCGTACCCTACCCGAAATGAGTGACAAACGGTTACTCACCAGTGACTCACGGCCTACCCGTACCCGTACCTGGCCGCACCAGGGTCGCAAACGGTATCGGGTAGGGTACGGGTATCGGGTACACGGTTGCGACCTCTGATGTAGGGTGTGTAGGCGCTTCCAGAAGTAATGTATTTTTTATTGGAGGGGGGTGAGGGGGGAGTGAAACTTTTTTTGTGAGGAGGTCGACAATTGTTGTCAACCTGTTGGATCAACTTTTTACACCCACATCTGGTGGGGGGGGGTCCACTTTGTTTAACTTTTAGATTCAGGCCTTCTGAAAGGCTCTCGTCATTTAGTTGACGGACAAACGGAACGCCGGGCTTTCACAACAGATGGTTCTTCTTCGTAACAGAAAGATCTGCCTTGTTGAAGGGCCATTGCTCACGACGTTGCTCAATACATTTTCCTTTCCTCTTCTGGGCGGTCTTATTGATGAACGTTTTGATTTGTCCACGAACACGCGGGTGAAATGTGACTCGTATCGTACTACATTATAAAAAACTGTTTTGCTGGTTAGTGTGCTGGTTAGTGTGCGAGCAGGCGGGCGGGCGGTGTCATCGCCACGTGGATCTACTTGATGGAGTCACTCGCATCCCCACAGCGTCGAACACGCGTTCCCGTGCGTCGCTCTGACGTCACGCTCCCCCGCCCACCACCACTGCCCCTCCCCCGCTGTCCGTAGTTCTTGTGCAAGTGCGTGGCCAGTGCTCGGCTATATACACACGGCTTGTGTTCCCGATGTCGTGTTGTGCGATACAAACAGAGTTTACAGGGACTCCTCTACTTATGAACATTCCACTTACAAACTTTCAGAGATACGAACAAACCTGTCCCGTATCTTTGTTTGGACCGAGAGTTGTAAGGTCAACCCCTGCGCAATAGACGGCGGTGGTGGCATCTGCAGAAAATGAGAAACCAGTGGCAGCTACATCTACAGGAGAGAGCACATGCCGTGCAATATGTTTGGAATCGACAGAAGTGAAGTTGGACTTACGAACAAATTCGACATACGAACAGGCCCCCGGAACCTAACTCATTCCTAAGTAGGCGAGTACCTGTGTAACTCGCAGCGAGCAGTGCACCACCTTGTGTGCTTGACGCTGTGTTGGGTCCCGTGGACTAGCAGCGACCCGCTCGTGTTATTTATTTATTGTTTGTTTGTTTATTCCAGGGAGGTTCGCCTAGGGCGGACCGGCGTGGATGAGATCAAGAGGCACCCGTTTTTCCGCAACGACCAGTGGACGTGGCAGAACATCAGAGAGAGTGCGTGCGCTCGTCGCTGTCGTTTCCCGTTTCTGTGGTCTTCCGCCCGTGTCTCCGTCTGTCCTCGTCGGTTTGTGCCTCTCGCCACGTTCCTTAGCGTGTCCTGATTAGTCGGCGTTCCCATCCATCTGTATCTCTCTTCGTCTACACCTGTCCGTCTTACCATCTGTCCATGTTTCTGCGTCTCTTTCTCCATGTCGCCATCCCCCCATGTCTTCGTGTCCCAATCTGTCCACGTCTCCGTGGTCTTTTGTTCCCGTGTCCCCGTGTCCCCGTGTCTCCGTGCTCACACGTCTCAATGTCCCCGTCTCTCCATGCGCCCAGCTCTCCGTGTCTCCGAGTCGCTTTGACCCTCCACGTCTCCATGTCCCTACATTTCCATAACTCTCTCCGTCTTCCCGTGCCGCCCCTTGTCCCCGTGGTGTCCCCGTGTCTCCCCGCGTAGCCGTGGCCCCCGTGGTGCCCGAGCTGGCGAGCGATGCGGACGCCAGCTGCTTCGACGACATCTCCGAGCAGGAGAAGGCCGAGGAGGAGGCCTTCTCCGTGCCCAAGGCCTTCCTGGGCAACCAGCTTCCCTTCATCGGCTTCACGTACCACAGCACCTACCGGTACGCCGACCGCTTTCTACCGCTCGTCATCACCACCAGCCGTGGTCTATCCGCTGCTAGATGATGGCCTCCCCCAAGCCTCACGATCCTGCGATGTAACAATCCACCCAGCGCCAGACGATATTCGTCGCTCCGTCTCGTCGAAAGTTTGTCTGTTTTTTAAGTCTCCCACTTAAATAGGAAATTCTAGAGCATTCGGGGTAAATATTGGCACGAAGACTTGGGCCGGATAAGACAAAATTGGGGATGATGTAAAACTCGCGTCCGTGAGGATGTAGACCACACGTGAGTTTATCGAGACCGAGCCGGGGCGTAGACGCTGAGTACGCCGTCGGTTTTTATTGCGAGTCAAAGTAATCGGATTGTTTTGTTAAAGTAATCAGATGTTTTATGAAAGTGATCAGATTATTTGTGGTCTTTTGTGGGCGCCGAGTCCGCCGACCCTAGGTGAGGAGCAGCTGATAGTTAAAGCGGCGCGCCTGTGAAGTTACTTTTACCGTTTAGTGCGCAACCCGGATCATCGAGGCTTAAACGAGCATGAGCCAACAGCGGTCGTGTCGCCGGTCGTGTCGGCGGTCGTGTCGTCGAAAGTGTCGGTGGACTTGTCGTTGGTCGTGTCGGCGACGACTGCAGGCTGCTGGAAACTGACGAGGTGGACACGCCGTGTGGACGAGGAGGTGGCACAACGACTCGAGGAGGAGGAGACAACCAGGCGAGTGCTCTGCCCTTGTGCCACCCTGTGCTGATGATTGCTGCCTCGCACGATCCCAATTGAGTAAATTGCAGTGTCATTTATCAGTATGGAGATGTTTTAGCCAATATTAGTTCCGTTGCATGTGTGCTTTTGTTTATCTTTTGGAGGAAACCATGCAGAACAGGGGGGAGAACGTATCAGCTCCACACTCTCACACGCACACACTAACACCTACCAAGATTTGCACGATTTGCTACATACGGTGTGAAAGAAGTTCAACACGTACGTACAAACTGCACTCGCTCACATTGCAGGATAGAGGCAGGTCATACAAACCCTCATGCAACGAAAGTGCCCGAGCCAGAAATCGATCCCAGGCCCAAAATGTGGGGCATGGCACGGTACAACCCGGACTCTCGTGGGAGATCTGTCCGGTGTTGTCGTCGTCGTTGAGCCGGAGTTGGAATGGGGGGACGGCCTTCGCTTCCGTTGACGGGAACGCCGAGCGAAGAGGACGTGATTTCAACAGCGGCGGCGTCGAAACGGACGGGGGTCTGTCCGGGTCGGCCACCCGCAAAAAATATTTCCCTACACGGCCCACCACGTCCAGTATACCGCCCGCTGCGCTGCGGACCCGGTGGCCCGAGTTCGATTCCCGCTCACGGTCAACACCAGTGACCGTTATCTGATCCACGGCTGCTCCTCCCCTAGGTCGACTCGGCCTCAATTGAGTGCCTGGTGCGGTGTGTAAACGTCGCCATTGGGGAGATAAAGGCGGCCGGGCGCGGTGCAGACCACCCACTCCCTCGTGCGCCGTACCGGCCTGCGTAGGTGCTCGCTTAACAGCACTTGGCCCTGCCTCCTGCGCCGCTGACCTTTGCTTGGCATCCGAGATGTGTCGAGGTTGGGCGCGTTCCACGTGATTTGGTCACGGGCCCATGACCGACCCACCCGATTGTGACCGACTCGCGACTCGTCACCACCACCACCACCTCCGTGCTTCCGTGCCATCTAATTATTCTTTCTCCCTGCGTTTGTGTTCCGACGCTGCCGACCCCGTCGCCGCCGCCGTCACGTCGCGCGCAGACCACGGAGAAGGTGAGGGCGGTGCCGTGGCTTTCGTGCCGTCGCAGCGGCAGCGGCAGCAGCAACCACCTTGAATCGCCGAGTCACAACCAGAATGTTGATTTTATTTCTTTACGCTGGAGGGGCCGATGAGCTATACAGCTCTTTTTCACACGTGTCCAGTAGGGGCTGGTCACAAAGTTACAACAACAAACGGTACAAAAACACGATAGGAGTGCAAAGTATAGGAAAGGTAAACACATCACTTGCAAAAAAATATACAAAGAAAACTAAACTACTTATCTTACCAGCTAAAGCCCACTGAGCTGTTTACTTATTTTTCAAAAGAGACCTGGCCACGAATGATAGCTCACCGAAGTGGCTTATCATGTGGACATTTACTGCAGCAAAATACTGAAGAAATTATTTTATTTATTTAGCTAATTTTGCTGAAACACCCACCCTGTGTCTCCTCAACTTGGAGGCGCGATCTACCCCTGTCCTCTTCCCCTCCCTCCCTCCCCTCCCTCCCCTCCCCTCCCTCCCCTCCCTCCCCCCACCATCGTCCATCCTGCACCCACCAGGTGAAGACCCTGGGGCAGGAAGTTCTCCAGCTGAAGGAGCAGCTGCAGGCGGAGGTGCAGGCCAAGGATGAGATGGAGCAGAAATTCAGGTGGGGGGGGGGGGGGGGGGCGCCTGCTACCAGTGTCTGAGAGTGGTTTGATCGCCCGCGAACATTTGTCCAGGATGAATGAGGTGTTTGTTCCCCCGGCAGAACCAATGGTACTGAACTCTGCCGCCGTCGCTGCTGTGCGAGCGACTATCTCTGCCGCTGCTCTGTGCGCCCGTGTGCAGGTCGACCAACGTGCGCCTGGAGAAACTCATCACCGAGTGGGACACGGAGGTGAGGGGTGGGTGCGTTCGTGTGCACGTGTGTGCGTGTAGCGGTTTGCGCGGCGTGCGACGAATCCAGCGACCCGAGTCCGATTCATCGCCAACACCGGGTGACCATTATATGAACCAGTCCTGGGACTCTCCTAGGTCGACTCGGCCTCAAATGAGTACCCGGTGCGATGCGTATAAAACATTGCCACGAGGGTGACGAAGGCTGGCCATGCCTCCCCCCCCCCCCCCTCGTGTACCGCACCGGCCTCCGTAGGTGCTACTCGCCTTCATACGCGCGACACTTTCCCCAACAGCGTGCTAAGGCTGCACGGGGGGGGGGGGGGGGCGGTGGTGGGGGATCTCCGTCTTTGCGCAGGTGGAGGGACGCAAGGCCCTGGAGGCAGCTCTGCGCCAGCTGGAGCGGGACAGGGCGCTGCTGCAGCACCGGGCGGCGGACGGGCAGCGCCGTGCGGAGCAGGAGTCGGAGAGGAGGCGCGCCCAGGAGGCTGAAGGTCCGCGAGCGCCACCTCCACCGCCACGCCCCACCGCCACCACCACGCCCCACCGCCACCACCACGCCCCACCGCCACGCCCCACCACCACGCCCCACCGCCACCGCCACGCCCCACTGTCACGCGCCACGGTGGCACCGCCGCACTTAGGCGGTCACAGTTGACCTTGACGTTGACCCCAGGAGAAACGGACCAGCGGATGGGCGAGCTGACGGGAGACGCGTGAGAGTCGTGCATTCCGGGCCTAGCAATGAGCGACCCACGAGATAAAATAATAAACATGCAATCTACCCATAATAAAGGTTTTTTTTTGGGTTATATTAGCACGGTTGGCTACGTACGGCGCGAAATAAGTTCTACATACATACATAGATCGCGTCAATATAAACCCGTCACCACCCGACGCAGCCAATTAGTAGGGTTTGTCACGTAAACAAAACGTGACAATTACTTTCTACTTCAGCACAACGGTGTGTTGGAGAGTAAACCCACAACATCCACAAGTCGAGTACGACGTACTTATTCTCTCTAACCCAAGAAAAGAAACAAAACTTCATTATGGATAACGTTGGTCGCGAAAGGCCTACGCAATCTACGTTTCGTTTCTTCAACTTCGTATTTGCCATCAAAAATGTACTCGGTGCTCCTCCAGAGGAGTTTGTTCATCGTCTTTCTCGTTTTGGTTCTGATCGCACTGCTGGCGTCGCGTTACGTGACTAAGAATCCCAGTCGGAAATCTCAACGGTTTGGTGCGCGACGCTGCATGCCACACACACCGGCTGCTTGTGCTCGTCCCTGTGTGTGTCTCTGTCTGCCTGTGTTCAGCTCTGTGTGCATCTGTGTGTTTGTCTGTATTTTTGTCTGTCTGTGTGTGTGTGTTCGTCTGTGTGTGACAGGCAGACGCACCACCTGTGCCTCCCTACTGTGCTAACTTGCTGCATTTTAGCCGCCCGGCGCGCCACTCGTTGTTGTGAGCCGGCCATCTCGGTCGGTCAACCTACGGCACTTGGCTCTATCCCGTGACCACCTGCCAGCGAGCCTTACACAATTCACGTGGCCTAAAGCGCACCTAGCCTGGCACAAGGACCGCGGTGACGTCACTGCCACTTAATGGGGAACGGCGGCTGCTGTTTTTTTTCGTCCGTCCGCGGTTGAAGTTTATGACGCTGCTGCTGCTGCTGTGCCGTCCTTGCAGTGTTGACGCTCAAGGAGCAGCTGGAGGAGACTCGCAAGCGGAACCAGAGCTCGCAGGCGTCCAGCGAGAGGGTCGTCCAGCTGCAGAAGCAGGTGGGGTGCTCGTCCTCGCTCACTCTCCCCCCCCTCATCTCCTCTTGTGACCCCTTGACCTCTCTTGCCCGCCCACCGCTGAAGGAGAGAGGTCTTGTCGCTGCTCAGGGCGGGGGTGGAGAGGTCTGCGTGTCTCCGCGTCCCCGCATGTCCCCATGTAGCTGGAGGAGATGTCGTCCCTGCTCAAGCCGGAGGTTGGAGGGGTTAGCTCGTCTCGGTGTCTCCGTGCAATCGTGTCTCCGTGTCCCCGCATCCCCGCGTCCCCGCACGTCTCCCCGCAGCTGGAGGAGGTGACGTCCCTGCTCAAGGCGGAGGGGGAGGGCTCGGCGCGGCACCGCAAGGCGCAGGCCGACTCAGCGCGCTCGCTCGCCGCCCTGGAGGCCGCGCACTCGGAGCTGCAGGAGAAGGCCCGAGGCTTGGAGGGCATCAAGCTGGCGCTGGAGAAGGAGCGCATCTCGCTGCAGTCGGCGCTGGAGGCCGAGCGGAGGGACCGCACCACCGGGCACGAGGCGTTCACAGAGGCACAAGGTGCGGACGGGCGGCGCCAGCCACTCAACCACCCAGCCTCTCAACCACTCAGCCACTCAACCACCCAGCCACTCAACCACCCAGCCAATCAACCACCTATCCACTCAACCACTTAGCCACTCAACCACCCAGCCACGCAAACGCCCAGCCAGTCAACCACTCAACCACTCAGCCACGCAAACGCCCAGCCACTCAACCACTCAGCCACTCAACCGCCCAGCCACTCAACCACTCAGCCACGCAAACGCCCAGCCACTCAAACGCCCAGCCAATCAACCACTCAGCCACTCAACCGCCCAGCCACGCAAACGCCCAGCCACTCAACCACTCAGCCACTCAACCGCCCAGCCACTCAACCACTCAGCCACGCAAACGCCCAGCCACTCAAACGCCCAGCCAATCAACCACTCAGCCACTCAACCGCCCAGCCACGCAAACGCCCAGCCACTCAACCACTCAGCCACGCAAACGCCCAGCCACTCAAACGCCCAGCCACTCAACCACTCAGCCACTCAACCGCCCAGCCACGCAAACGCCCAGCCACTCAACCACTCAGCCACGCAAACGCCCAGCCACTCAAGCGCCCAGCCACTCAGCCACTCAACCACTCAGCCACTCAACTGCCCAGCCACTCAACCACTCAGCCACGCAAACGCCCAGCCACTCAAACGCCCAGCCAATCAACCACTCAGCCACTCAACCACTCAGCCACGCAAACGCCCAGCCACTCAACCACTCAGCCACGCAAACGCCCAGCCACTCAAACGCCCAGCCACTCAACCACTCAGCCACTCAACCGCCTAGCCACGCAAACGCCCAGCCACTCAACCACTCAGCCACGCAAACGCCCAGCCACTCAAACGCCCAGCCACTCAACCACTCAGCCACTCAACCGCCCAGCCACTCAACCACTCAGCCACGCAAACGCCCAGCCACTCAAACGCCCAGCCAATCAACCACTCAGCCACTCAACCGCCCAGCCACGCAAACGCCCAGCCACTCAACCACTCAGCCACGCAAACGCCCAGCCACTCAACCACTCAGCCACGCAAACGCCCAGCCACTCAAACGCCCAGCCAATCAACCACTCAGCCACTCAACCACTCAGCCACGCAAACGCCCAGCCACTCAACCACTCAGCCACGCAAACGCCCAGCCACTCAAACGCCCAGCCACTCAACCACTCAGCCACTCAACCGCCCAGCCACGCAAACGCCCAGCCACTCAACCACTCAGCCACGCAAACGCCCAGCCACTCAAACGCCCAGCCACTCAACCACTCAGCCACTCAACCGCCCAGCCACTCAACCACTCAGCCACGCAAACGCCCAGCCACTCAAACGCCCAGCCAATCAACCACTCAGCCACTCAACCGCCCAGCCACGCAAACGCCCAGCCACTCAACCACTCAGCCACGCAAACGCCCAGCCACTCAAACGCCCAGCCACTCAACCGCCCAGCCACGCAAACGCCCAGCCACTCAACCACTCAGCCACGCAAACGCCCAGCCACTCAAACGCCCAGCCACTCAACCACTCAGCCACTCAACCGCCCAGCCACTCAACCACTCAGCCACGCAAACGCCCAGCCACTCAAACGCCCAGCCAATCAACCACTCAGCCACCCAACCGCCCAGCCACGCAAACGCCCAGCCACTCAACCACTCAGCCACGCAAACGCCCAGCCACTCAAACGCCCAGCCACTCAACCACTCAGCCACTCAACCGCCCAGCCACGCAAACGCCCAGCCACTCAACCACTCAGCCACGCAAACGCCCAGCCACTCAAACGCCCAGCCAATCAACCACTCAGCCACGCAAACGCCCAACCACCCAGCCCTCAACTGCCCAGCCACTGAACCACCCAGCCACGCAAACGCCCAACCACTCAACCACCCAGCCACTCAACCGCTCAACCCACCCAATCACCAAATCACTCAACCACCCAATCACTCAACCGGTCAACCACCCAACAAAACCACTCAATAACCAACGACGGCTCCCATCTCTCTTTGCTTTCAAGTCTCCCCTAAATACCATGCTGCTCAACCATGTGCCTTCAATGCCTTCAGTGCTTCATTTATCTTTTGTGTGAGTGAGTGGGTGGGTGAGTGGTTGGGTGGGTGGGTGGGTGAGTGGGTGGGTGGGTCCATGGACAAGTGAATGCCCCAAGAGTTTGTTGTAGGATATTCGGGGAATTTTTCTATCTGTGTACATGCGTGTGGACATGCGTTTGTGTGTCCGTGTGGTGTCCCCAGGTCGCGTGTCCGCACTGGAGGAGGAGGCTCGGGGCCTGAAGCTCAGCCTGACAAAGGCCGAGACGGAGAGCCGGCATCTCCAGGAGCGACTCATCGACCTGGAGAAGGTCAGCGCACTCCCCGACCTCTCTTAACCCGAGCCGTGCCAGCGCGGGGGCCCTCACGGGGCACGGGTGGTTTTCCACCGGCCGTTACCCGTGCCGAGCCGGAACCAGGCCGTGATGCACCGCTTGCCTTGCAAGACGTCTGTAATCTGGTTCGGGGCCAAGCCAGGGCCAGGGGGCGACACTAATAATGCGTTGACCGCGCGCGTGACGTCTGCGAAGGCGTCGTCACGGCGATCATCATCTGCATGCATCTCTCGCCGCCTGCCGTTGCGCGCGACGTCAGCAGCACGGCTCGGATGTGCAGTGGAAAAAAATAGATATTTCTGTCGGCCCTCTCCATCTATATCGGCTGTATCTTTGGGGGAATGAGGTGCCCGGGTTGTTCTGGGGGTCGGAGTGCTGAACCAGCTCCACCGACTTGAGACCTGGGTTCAAATCTGGAATTCAGCTCGCTCCACATTAGAACGCGGTTTCATCACGCCGCGCTTAACTCGCGAATTGCAACGTTGCAAGCTCAGCCGTCGCGAACTTCCGCCCCCTGAAGCCGGCCAGCCAAATCTGAACGGGGGGGGAGGGGGCGACGAGAGACATGGGGTGAGGGGGCCGCTCTGTAACAACTCGGTGACGCCGTGACCCCTCCCCCCACCGCAGGAGAAGAACGGTGCGGAGATCGAGCTGAGCTACAAGCTGCGCGCCGCCCAGCAGAGCCTGGAGCACGAGGTGGCGGCGCACCGAGCCACGATGGCGCGGCTCGACGACAAGCACACCTCCATCGAGGGTGCCAAGTCACAAGCCGTGCGCGGTGAGTGGCGGCGCTCAGTGAGCAGTGGTGAGTGGTGAGTGTCTGGGGAGTGGTGAGTGGTGAGTGTCTGGTGAGTGGTGAGTGGTGAGTGTCTGGTGAGTGGTGAGTGGTTAGTGGTGAGTGTCTGGGGAGTGGTGAGTGGTGAGTGTCTGGGGAGTGGTGAGTGGTGGTGTCTGGTGAGTGGTGAGTGTCTGGGGAGTGGTGAGTGGTGAGTGTCTGGGGAGTGGTGAGTGGTGAGTGTCTGGTGAGTGGTGGTGTCTGGTGAGTGGTGAGCAGTGAGTGTCTGGGGAGTGGTGAGTGGTGAGTGTCTGGGGAGTGGTGATTGGTGAGTGGTGGTGAGTGTCTGGGGAGTGGTGAGTGTCTGGGGAGTGGTGAGTGTCTGGTGAGTGGTGAGTGTCTGGTGATTGGTGAGTGTCTGGGGAGTGGTGAGTGTCTGGTGAGTGGTGAGTGTCTGGTGATTGGTGAGTGTCTTGGAGTGGTGAGTGTCTGGGGAGTGGTGAGTGGTGAGTGTCTGGGGAGTGGTGAGTGCTGGTGTTTGGCGAGCGGCACGTGCGGCATGAACGCACACGAGGGGCCGGGCTGGAACCGTGACGCCCCACGTTGACGGCAACCCCCGTTGGGCCGCGTCACCGCCCTGCGTGCGCTCGTCGCGAGCAGAGACGGAGAAGATGGTGGCGGAGGAGCGGTCGTGGCGCCAGCGCGCCGAGGCGCACGCCGTGGCGCTGGAGAGGCGCCTGCACGAGGCCGAGTGCGACGTACGGCAGGCACGGCACAAAGCGACGCAGCTCGGCCTCAGCCGCGAGGCGCTGGAGGAGCAGGTGAGCCCCCTCCCCAGCCGGGCCACCCTCCCACTGACCCACCGACCTAACCACTTGCGCAACCAGCCACGCACCGACCCACCAGGTCACAGACCTAGCCACCCACCCACCGACGCACCGACCGACCTACCTACCAGTCCACCCACCCACCGACCCAACCACCCACCCACCGACCCACCCACCCACCCAACCACCCACCCACCCACCCACCCACCGACTCACCCACCCACCGACCCAACCACCCACCGAACCACTGACCCACCCACCCACTGACCCCCCCCCCCCGTCTCTCCCCCCTCACCCCCTGCCGCCCCCCCAGGTGAAGACGCTGTCGCTGAAGGTGGAGCAGGAGGCGCAGCGGAGGCAGCTGACGCAGGGCGACCTGAAGCAGCAGGCGCAGCAGGCGACGGCGCTGCGCACGAGCGAGAAGCAGCTGAAGCAGGAGATGAACGCGCTGCAGGAAGCGCGCATCGCTCTGGAGAAGCAGCTCGCTCACATGCGCAGGTGCATCACTCACGCACGAGCGTGGCGATGGTGACAGTGATGATGATTTGATGATGACAACGATGATAATGTGATGATGATGGTGATGATGACGATGATGTGATGATGACGACGATGATGATGTGATGATGTTGATGACGACGATGATTTGATGATGATGACAACGATGATGATGGTGATGATGATGACGATGATGTGATGATGACGACGATGATAATGTGATGATGGTGATGATGATGACGACGATGTTATGATGACAACGAGGATGATCTGATGATGGTGATGACGACGACGCTGATGTGATGATGACAACGATGATGATGTGATGATGGTGATGATGATGACGCTGATGTGATGATGACAACGATGATGATGATGGTGATAACGACGACGATATGATGACGACGATAATGTGCTGATTTGACGATTGTGCCGCTGATGTGATGATGACGACGCAGCGATGACTGTGTGTCCGTCCGTGCGCGTGCGCAGGGAGAAGCAGGACAACGAGGGGCAGATGCGTGAGCTGCAGGAGCAGCTGGAGGCTGAACACTACTTCTCCGTGAGTCGTCGCCGCCGCCGCCGCCACAGACCTCTAATGTCCGGGTTCGACTCCCTTTCGGGTTGATTTTTTGTTGTTGTTGTATTATCAGTGGTGTTGAGCACAGGGCCCAGCAACAAGTAGCACCTTTGAAATTGCAGTAGAGAAGCGTTTCTTGAATTGAGCTGGGTTGTTGTTGTTGTTGTTGTGAGACCTCGGGGGGTGGCGGGGCGTGTGCAAAGAGACGATGGTGGGAGGGAGTTCCACGATCTATTAGCCCGCTTGAACTTGAACCCCCCTCCCCCCCCCCCGGGTGACCTCCGGTTATTCCGCAAATGAACTCGCCCACCATCACCCCGTTCGCCGCGAGCGCCGTCGAGGGTCCGTCCGGCCGCTGTCCGTCCGGCCGCTGTCCGTCCGCTCTCCGCCCTCCTGTGGGCACGCAGACGCTGTACAAGACGCAGGTGCGGGAGCTGAAGGAGGATGCCGAGGAGAGGCTGAGGGCGTGCAAGGAGCTCCAGACGCAGGAGCAGGAGCTGCGCGACGAGCGGTGAGGCTCGAACTTCACCGTGACCCTCACCGTGAAACTCACCGTCACCGCGAACCTCACCGTGAAACTCACCGTCACCGTGAAACTCACTGTCACCGTGAACCTCACTGTAAACCTCACCGTGAAACTCACCGTCACCGCGAACCTCACCGTGGAACTCACCGTCACTGCGAACCTCACCGTGAACCTCACCGTGAACCTCACCATCACCGTGAACCTCACCGTCACCGTGAACCTCACCGTGAAACTCACCGTCACCGTGAACCTCACCGTGAAACTCACCGTCACCGTGAACCTCACCGTGAAACTCACCGTCACCGTGAACCTCACCCCGGGGATCCGTTCCTCTCTGAAGTATTCTCTCCGGTTTTGCTGGGCGAGTCCGGAGCAAGGGTGGCATGTGACACATGACTCGTAGCCAGCCACAGCGAGAGAGGTGTGTGCTGGACGTGGTGTGCCGGGGTGCGCGGGAATATTTCCCGGGTCGCCTGACACCAGACAGACCCGGCCAGAGTTTGAGCGCTTTGCCGTTACGTCCGCAAGCACGTTGCTCGCACTGCAACGTCGCCATCAACACCGTCACTCGCACCATTTCACCACCATCGCCATTCCTCACTTCACGCCAACAGTTTTAGTTTTTGTGTTAATTGGAGGCTCTCTTTGTAGACTGGCTGGACAGCTTGTTTTTGTACAACTTTGCTACTTTTTGTATTGTTGTTATTCATAATTAACCTTAACTTTCGATTTAAAGCTTTCGTGACTGCAGGGATTCATCTTCTTGGTTCTTTCGGTAAAGTCACGTAGAAGGGAAATGATACAATAATAAAAATTAAACATAATAAAATCATTCTCACCTTAACTTTGCAGTTCGATACGCGACTTGTCGCTTGAAACTGCATTTAAGCATCGTCAGGTCAGGACCCAGAAAGTCGGAACCACCGCGTCACCTGACCCAGCTTCTTTAAGTCGGTGTCATGACCTCCCAGGAACAAGCACTCAGATTGAATCATGATGTTAACCGTTGGAATGAAATGTATGACGATGTTATTCTAGTTCTATGTATGTATGTAGGTTGAACTTCTTTCGCACCGTACGTAGCCCACCGCGCTAATTTGAGGTGCGGGGGAAGGCCAACAAAATGAAACACAAAAATTAACCCGTAAAAAACAAAGTTTTTCACTATAAATCCTTTATATGCGTGGCATCGGTTTTATTTTATTATTCATTTCAGTTTTTCTTGAGTAAGAGTTTCATTTTTATCACATTGGTATTTAAAATGAAATATGATTTTTTTTCCTAAAAAGTGGAAAATTTTGGAAAAAAATTTTCACGAAAATAAATTGTCACGCACAACGAGTCTGTGTGCAAAATGTCAGCTCGATTGGATCACGGGAAGTGGGTTAAAAAACGACCGAAAGATTTGCACGGTCGTAAGCGCGCAAGCAAGCAAGCAAGTGAACTTAATATAAAGGATTTTAAAAAACATTTTTGTGTTGATTGTTGCTGTTTGTCGTTTTGTCGGTGGCGGCGGTGGCAGGGACTCTCTGGCGGCTCAGCTGGAGCTGACGCTGACCAAGGCGGACTCGGAGCAGCTGGCGCGCTCCATCGCGGAGGAGCAGTACTCGGACCTGGAGAAGGAGAAGACCATGAAGGAGCTGGAGATGAAGGAGCTGGTGACGCGGCACCGCACCGACACTGGGGAACTTGAGGCACAGCGTTCCGCCGTGAGTCGAACGCACGCACGGTGACACACACGCACGGTGATACACATGCACGCACAGTGACACGCACGGTGACACACGGTGACACACGCACGGTGATACACAGACACGCACGGATACACACACGCACACACAGTGACACACGGTGACACACGCACGGTGATACACACGCACGGTGATACACACGCACGGTGATACACATGCACGCTACTACACACACACGCACAGTGACACACGGTGATACACACGCACGGTGATACACACGCACGGTGATACACACGCACGGTGATACACACGCACGCTACTACACACGCACGCACAGTGACACACGGTGATACACGCACGGTGATACACACACACGCACAGTGACAAGCACGGTGACACACGGTGATACACACGCACGCTACTACACACGCACGCACAGTGACACACGGTGATACACACACGGTGATACACACGCACGCACAGTGACAAGCACGGTGACACACGGTGATACACACGCACGGTGATACACATGCACGGTGATACACACATGCTACTACACACGCACGCACAGTGACACGCACGGTGACACGTACGCACGGTGACACACCCACGCACACACATGCGATTCCCGCTCACAATTGGCACCAGTGACAATTATCTGAATCGGTCCTGGGCCTGCCCTAGGTCTACTCAGCCTCAAATGAGTACCTGGTGCGGTGTGTAAACATCGCCAACCGGGAAGACAAAGGCGGCCGGGCGTGGTGCTGGCCACCCACCCCCTCGTGTGCTGTGTCAGCCTTCTTAGGAGCCCGCTAACAGCACTTGCCCCAACAGTCTGTTAAGGCTACACGGGAGATCTTTGTGTACAAAAACACACGTTGATGGAGTTGGCCCGACATTTCAATATCGGACCGCAGAACTTGGGTAATTATTGGTGACGATTCTGGGATGGCTGCCACTAGGAAGGTGCCCTTCAAATTATTGAAGACGAGATGCGGTGCAAGGCACTTTGAGTTGTCGATGCGTTTAAGCAAACGCCGTATAAATGAAGAAGATGATTATTAATTAGTCTTAATGTTATAAGCGATATCGATGACCCCTGTGGCTGCTCTGTAGCTCGCAGAGGCCAACAAGAAGCTGACGGACGACATCGCTGCTCTGACGGCCGAGAAGGAGGAACTGACGCAGAAGTTCACCGTGATGCAAGAAGGTGGGGACGTCACCGCAGACAAAACTTTGCTTGCACGCACGCTCGCACGCACACACGCTCGCACGCACACACGCTCGCACGCACGCACGCACACACGCTCACACGCACGCACACACACGTGACCCTTAGCCGGCCTGCGATGGTGGCAACCACGCTGCACATGACTGCTGCGATCCAGCGCTGTGGAGACAGCAGCGAGGGGCTGGCGGATCGCCGCACACACACACACACGGGTGTTCTGAAACTCCCCTTCTTTCAGTGGGAGTCGAGGAGGAGTCCATTACCCTGGCTCGCCAGGAGAAGGCGGTACAGCAACAATATGGACTCCATCTTTTCCGTCTGTATGGGATAGGGTGTTGCCCCCTCGCATGAGTGGGGTTTTCTCTGGGTGCTCTGGTTAAAAATTCTCATGAATTCACCGATAACACCTTAATATGTAGAGGACCGCAGCGCTTGGGCATTTGTTGGCGCCGGCTCAGCGCGTGGCTGTCGTATGTGTACCATGTGCGTCATGTGTGTGTCATGCATGTGTTGGTATGCGCCATGTTGGCACCTCCGATTCGCACGGTTGGCTACTTACGGCGCGAAAAAAGTTCAACATACATTCATACGTACACGTGTATCATTGCGCGTCATGCATGTGTCACCTATGTGTGTGGCAAGCAGAGCTCGACAGCCTGAAGAAGGAGCATGCGACTCTGTCCATCGTCAAGGCTCAGGTGGAGAAGCAGCTGCAGGTGGAGAAAACGCTCAAGACTCAGGTGCGCTGACGTGCGTGTGCGCGCGCGTCCGTGTGTTCATGCGTGTGCGTGTTTGCGTGTCCATGCGTGTGCGTGTTTGTGCACTGACTCGCATAGTTCCCCGTAGACTTACGTAGAAACTTATGGACGTGCACAGGGACCCGTAGACTCTCATAGGTAGGCCTCGGCAAGGTAAGGTAAAAGTGTAAAAACGAGCCTACCTTTACCCTACCTTTTACCTTACCACAATACAATCACTCTACCCTACCTTTTACCCTTTAGCAGGTAAGGTAAAAGGTAAAAAGCAACGAGCCTACCTTTACCCTACCTTTTACCCTACCTTTTACCCTACCTTTTACCCTACCTTTACCCTACCTTTACCCTACCTTTACCCTACCTTTACCCTACCTTTACCCTACCCTTTACCCTACCTTTTACCCTACCTTTTACCCTACCTTTACCCTACCTTTACCCTACCTTTACCCTACCTTTACCCTACCTTTACCCTACCTTTTACCCTACCCTTTACCCTACCTTTTACCCTACCTTTTACCCTACCTTTACCCTACCCTTTACCCTACCCTTTACCCTTACCCCTTGGCATGTCGACACCTTTACCCTTTTACCCGGTAAAAAGGGTAAATTACCTTACCTTGCCGAGGTCTACTCATAGGGACCTACGGACTGACGTTGGGCCCTGTCGTGCCGTTGGATGCGTGCGTGCGGGCACGCCCGGCAGGCCGTGAACAAGCTGGCGGAGGTGATGAACCGCAAGGACATGAAGATGGACCGACGGCAGGCGAGCGCCACCGACCTGAAGCGCAAGGAGAAGGAGAACCGCAAGCTGCAGCTGGAGCTGAACCAGGAGCGCGACAAGTACGGGCAGATGGAGGCCAAGTACCAGCGCGAGGTCAACGACATGCAGAACGTGGGTCTCTCTCCTCACCGCCTCCGCCTGCCTGCGTGTGTGTGGTGTGTGTGTGGTGTGTGTGTGGTGGGTGTGTGTGCGTGTGTGTGGTGTGTGTGTGTGGTGTGTGTGGCGTGTGTGTGGTGTGTGTGTGGTGTGTGTGTGTGTGTGGTGTGTGTGTGGTGTGTGTGTGGTGTGTGGTGTGTGTGTGGTGTGTGTGCGTGTGGTGTGTGTGTGGTGTGTGTGTGGTTGGTGTGTGTGTGGTGTGTGTGTGTGGTGTGTGTGCGTGTGGTGTGTGTGTGGTGTGTGGTGTGTGGGTAGTGTGGGTAGTGTGTGTGTGTGGTGTGTGTGTGTGTGTGGTGTGTGTGCGTGTGTGCGTGTGGTGTGTGGTGGTGTGTGTGTGGAGTGTGTGTGTGTGGTGTGTGTGTGGTGTGTGGGCGTGTGTGTGCGTGGTGTGTGTGTGGTGTGTGTGTGGTTGGTGTGTGTGTGGTGTGTGTGTGTGGTGTGTGTGTGGTGTGTGTGTGTGGTGTGTGTGTGGTTGGTGTGTGTGTGGTTGGTGTGTGTGTGGTGTGTGTGTGTGGTGTGTGTGTGGTTGGTGTGTGTGTGCTGTGTGTGTGTGGTGTGTGTGCGTGTGCCGGTCGTCGTCGCTGCGGTGGCTTGATGGCAAATTTGTGGGAGGCTCGGACGTTTTGGAACCCCTTCCCACCTCCACCACCTCCACCACCTCCACCACCGGATTCCTCCTGCAGTATAAATAGAGATTCTGATTGTGATCATGCCCTAATGTTGGCCGAGTCTCTCTCGCTGTCGCCTTGAAAGCAGCAATGTTTTTTTTCTATGTTTCCCCAATTCTATGCCGATCGAAGTCGCATGGTCACGATGTCGAGGAATCACATTCGGAACGCTCACAGAGCAGCGCCAACTTTGGTGTTCGAGAACGGTCCGCGGAGGCGGATATCACAGAGCTCCATCCGAGAACCCTGCAAGCCACCTCCGGTCAATGCGGTAGAGGGCAGCACTAAGCCGCCCTGCCACAGGGAGTCACTTCCATGGCATTTGAGTCAAACCGAGATTTCGAATTCTCAGCGCTGGAATTGAAGCCGGTACGGTGAGTAAACATCGCCGCTCGGCAAAGGCGGCTGCTGGCCACGCCCACTGCCTCGTGCGCCGTTCCGACCTTCGTAAGTGTTCGCTGACAGCACTTGCCCCAACCGTCTGTTAAGGTTTGCAGGGGGATCTTTGATGTGGAAGTCTGTGAGTCTCTCTGCAATGCCTGCGGATGTCAAGCATTAAGGGCCAGGGAGAGACCGTCAACCCCACTACCCTTGAGTACCCCGTTTAATAATCCCAGGCCCGTGGCTGGATTCGAACCCAGGATCTCAGTGGTAACCAGCTCAACCATCTGACCTCTGAGCCACCCGGCCGCAGTGAGCTATCAGTTGACCTCACGACGGCGATGATAGCGATGATGGCGATGCGCGATTCGTGATGTTTGACCGGTGCCCCCCCCCACTCCCCACGTGCCCCCCCCCCTCCCACGGCATGCTGCCCTGCACAGCAAATGCTGGAGGAGAGCCAGAAGGTGCTGGAGCTGCAGATGGCTCTGGACAGCCGCGACAGCGACATGGAGCAGCTGCGCGCCGCCCAGCAGAGCGCCGGCACAGACGCCACCGGCGCGCTGGTGCCGCACGCCGACCCCGCGTGGACGCTCGTGCACGGCCTCGCCGACGGTGAGGGGCCTTGGGGGGGTCGCTTGTGCCACCACGCGTCATCGTCGTCATCGTCGTCGTCGTCAACGTCATCGTCGTCGTCAACGTCGTCATCGTCGTCAACGTCGCCCTCCATCATCCTGCTCATCTCTCCTCCTTTAGCTCCCCCTCGCCATCCTCCTTCTCCCTGCTCATCCTCCACCATCGAATCCTCCTTCTCATCATCATCATCGCCCTCCCCCTGGCCGGGGTGGGGGGCGGGGTGCGGGAGGGGGGGTCGGGGCGTTGGGGTTCATCGTTCTGCATCGCTTGCAATATCATCACGAACTCGATTCTGCACCAACTCCACCTGGGCTTCTCAACTCCAGTCCCTCGTCGCGACTCGTCGTGATTTACGATCGTACGTAGGCACGCGCCAATCAGGCCGCAGTGCTGTGGGCTAGAGGCAGGCACGTGCAGCGTAGTCACCGCCGCTCGACTGCACGCAGCTGACGGGCGCTGGTCGTGGGACGCCGTGCGGTCGAGAGGGCCGAAGCTGAGCATATAACAATAATCGTAATTCTAGATTTGAAGCTTTCGTGACTGCAAGGAGTCACGTGGGTGAAAAATAAAATAAATGAAAACAACTAAATTAAATCTTCAGGTGGAAGACGTAAGCTTGTGTTGCCTCCGAAACGTCGTGATTAAATTTAGTTGTTTTCATTTATTTTATTTTATTTTTTACCTACGTGACTTTACCGAAAAAACCAAAGAGTAATAATCATCATTTTCAGACCTGCACCTCCAATCAGTACGGTCGCGAAGGAAGTTCAACAAACATACATGACCAGTTTCGGCTTCATGGATTCTCATCGGCATTGTCTCAGGCCTGTTAAACAAACATCGCTGGATTTTTCGGTATTCGTTTGACAAAGCCAGAGGGCTTCCATGAACACTTTCCCCCGGAAACTGAAGCCGCCCTAGATTTTCTCGTTTGCCCACTTTTATTTCATTCCTAATTTTTCTGCTCGTTTAACAACCAAATGGACTCCTGCTGCTGCAGCTGCTGCTGTCTCGCTGTCTTCAGCTGCCATTTAAGACTAAACATTTCTATCCCCGTGACCCTGTGTGTGTGTGCTGGGAATAGATCACACACAGAGACACGCACAGTTGATCTCTAGATTATGCAAAATAACCACTTGAGCTGAATGTGTACACCCTTCTTTCACACGTGGATATGAGGCCTATATGTAAATATAACATTGTTCAGCCCTCGCTCGCTCCACCGCTGCATGAAAAGCCTCCCCACGTCGTCTTGGTCTTGGGTGGTTGTTTGACCATACTTCACCACCTGTGCGGGCGGGTGAATAACAAGAAGACTACGGGGACCGGTTTCAAACATCACTCGCCACCGATGTTAGCCGTGACCAGGAGTAAATACTGGAGGTGTCGGCTGGGTTCATGGCGCAGTGCGCTAACCACTGCACCACCACCACTCTACCCGCAGCTAGCCGCTAACGGTATTCCGCATTGACCCACACGTTGCGTGCAGGGGGAAAATCCCGCCGCCGGCTTCTGGCTAACTCCGGCATTATCTGGTCCCTTATCTCCTCTGCCTCTTCCTCCTCCTTATCATCTCAACCACCCAGTTACCCCCCACACCGCCCTTCCTCCCTCTCACCTTCACCACTCGCCCAGTGGCTGGGAAAGCTTTGGGCAATGTTTGTTTGGTGGAGTCGGAGACGACTCGGGTCCAGTGCCGCCACCACCACCACTGTTGCCTTGCAGAGAGAGAGAGCCCTCTTGAAATATTTACTGAAGGATTTGAAAAGGCCCTGCCGTCTGATAAGCGATAACATTGTGCTTCCTCGTCTGCCTGTTCTTCTCTCTTAAGTGGCGTTTATTGACACAGGCTTTTCACAAAACCTCGGCACGTTGACATAATTTCTAATAACAATAAATTATAGTCCTTTGTCAATCAACTGCTGGATGAAGGCCCCCCCCCCGTGCCATGTCAGTAGTAGGGTTGTGGGTTGTTCGACCACAACCACATAGGCCTGGGGTTAGTACTCTGATGGCCACCCATTCAAGTACGAACCAGGCTCTCAAGCCCGCTTAGCTTTTTGCTATCTGATGAGATCGGAGACCTTCTGAGTGCAACTTTGTTCTGCTCTGTGATGGCCTAGTGCAGGCTGAGTGCTGCGAGATACCAGCAGTGGAAAGCGGGCATCGCAGAACCACTTCTGAAATCTCTTCGAGTGACCTCTCGTTCACCGAGAGTGACGTTTGTCGCTATGGCGGTCGGTCCGATCATTCTCAAGAGTTTGAATTTAGCAACATTGGGGTGCAGCCTGCGGCGACTGGGCTGAGACCATCAACTCGCTGCACTTGAGAATCCGCTTTAACCACGGGCAGCGGCTGACACCGGCGATCCGAACCGAGGATCTGAGTGGTGGGAGAGCGGCGCACTGAACCCTTAGAGCCACTCGGGTCTGTCAGAAGCAGGAGTACGTACGTGGGTGCGTGCGCACGAACGTCGTCGTGTGTGTATGTACAGCCGTCTGTCCGTGATGCTATTGCCAGCAGCAACAGCACTTGCAACTGAGACCGAGTCACACGAGTCGTCAAAAAGACAAAAAAGACAAAGCTCCCCCGTATAGCCTCAGCAGACTGTTGGGGCAAGTGCTGTTAGCGAGCACCTATGAAGGCCGGCACGGCACACGAGGGGGCGGGTGCCCAACACCACGCCCGGCCGCCTTTGTCCTCCTAGCGGCAATGTTTACACATTGCACCAGGTACTCATTTGAGGCTGAGTCGACCTAGGGGAGGCCCGGGACCGGTTCAAATAATCGTCACTGGTGTTGGCCGTGAGCGGGAATCGAACCCGGGTCTTCAGGTTCGTTGCGCAGCGTAGCGTTAACCGCTACACCACCGCTGCCCACAAGACATCACACACACACACACGTGCACGCGCGTGCACGTGTGTAAATATACACCCCTTCAGTGTTTAAAAAGACACGTGGCGCAAAGAGGACAAATATTTAGGCCTTGGTGCACAATGGGGAAAACTGTTGGTCCCGCACAAAGCAAGAAGCGTGGCGGGTCGTCTATCCACTGTCATCATCTACCAGCCATGATCAGTCCGCTGCTGGATGACATCCTTCCCAGGCCATCAACGTCCTTCACAATCCTGCAATGCAGCGATCCACCTGGCACCGGCACACGACCCCCATTTCATCGCTCCATCTCTCGGGTGGACGTACCTTTCCTCTCGGGCAAGTAGCCTCCTAGGGCTGCCATTCCGTCGTTTAGTCTCGGCCACTGGTCATCGTCGGCCGTCTCGCGACCCACCGGCCTTCTCGCGACACGCACTGCCCAAGGCCGCTTAACTTTTCTTAGCAGTCGAATGTGCCGTCCCCTGGCCTGCGTGCGTTCTCCCATGCACGTGCTCCTGTCTCCGTGTCATTCCCAGCATGCACCTCTCCGTGCTGATTTGCATGGAGAGGTGAACGCTTCGGTGGCAGCTTTTGTGTTCACCTCGCGAAGGTCGGCGCTTCCGATCCACACGACTTCCAGCGGACGGTATCCACCGACCCTATTGTTCCATGGATACAGCTGCTGAACCTGAGCTATAAACGTTCCGATACTCCTATTGTCTTTGTGCTGTTCGCCTCTTGGCGTTCTCTGGTCTGACACAGGTGAGGCAAGGCCATAAAGAAGGCTGCTGTCTCTGGTGTAGGCCAATCATTTTCAGAGACAACGCAAATATTACCAGAGCCACGTGTTTACATGCATGCTCACCACAAGTATGTGTGGTTAATGCAGACTTGAGTCTTTGCTAAAAGGTTTCTGTATGGTGTTTGAACATCTTAACACAACTCCTGTTTCATCGCCAGATAGGGTAGAGACTGTTCATATTTTTCATACTACCCACTCGTGTTGCCACATCACATCCTGTGTCTGCGGCCGTCAGAACCCTCCCTGCATCGCTGCTGCAACTCGTTCTCCGCTTGATCTGGTCTGCTGATCGGTTGACCCGCCCGCTCGCCCACTCGCTCGATTCGTTTGAGATGCTTTGTGACGCATAATGCAGCTGCATGTTCTTCACTCTTTATACGTCGGCTCAATCAACCGATATTACGATTCATAATTAATGTGTTTTTGGTCATCTCATCGTGTGGGTGTAATGCCATTTTTGTTTGATACTTTAACCCTAAACCACCCAAAACACGGCCAATGTTGAAGAGCAAGCAACAATTTTTGCACTTTCATCATAAAATTATTCCGAAGTATCGGATTTTATTGTAAGTCCAAGAGTCCGATAAACTGAATTAATATAATTATTTTATGAACAATTACCGCGTAGACTCGCAGGGCGTCCGAATGCGGGTGCGTCTCAGGACGGCGGACGGAGCCAGTGGGACATACCCGTTGATCTGGAACAGAGGTCGATAATTTGATTCCGAGCGACCTTATCGTCTTTTTGTGTTTAATATTCCTTTCAAAAATACGGGTTTCTACGCTTCACGCCAATACCCCCCCCCCCCAAGTGTTCCACTCTTCAAACAAGTTGCCAAACTCGTACTCCTGGATGCACGCTGCCTCCCAGACTCGCTCTCACGCTGCGTTCACAATGGCCAGCGTTGTCCTCGTGATTTATTAGCCAGGTAGGGCGGCCGGCTGCCACAGGACAGGATCGTGGCAGGGGTGGCGGGCGCGCTGGTGGCGGGCGACCCGCTGGAATTTGCCGTGCGTGGGAGTAGCGTGGCGGCGGCGGCTGTGCGCTGTTGACTCTATGGCTGCCTGTGGCCTCTGTGGTTTTTTTGCAGATGACCTCTCCCACACATGTCTATCCAGCAACACACCTACCCGCCTAGCCAAGCTATCCACCCACCTATACACGTAGCCACCTACCCACCCAGCAAACTACCCACCTACCTGCCCAGACAACTACCCACGTGCCCACCTACCCATCCAGCAAACTACCCACCTACCTGCCCAGAAAACTACCCACCTACCCACCCAGCAAACTACTCACCTACCTGCCCAGAAAACTACCCACGTACCCAACTACCCCCCCAGCAAACTACCCACCTACCTGCCCAGAAAACTACCTACGTACCCACCTACCCACCCAGCAAACTACCCACCTACCTGCCCAGAAAACTACCCACCTATTCACCCAGCAAACTACCCACCTACCTGCCCAGAAAACTACCCACGTACCCAACTACCCCCCCAGCAAACTATCCACCTACCTGCCCAGAAAACTACCCACGTACCCACGTACCCACCCAGCAAACTACCCACCAATCCACCCAGAAATTTGCGTACAGTGCTGCTGCGCCCCTTCTTTGTGTGCGGTTAAATCCATCTCTGCATCGTAACCAAATTATTTTCTTTCGCTCTATCTGTACTTGTTATTTTGTTTTCTGTAGAAATGCATTCGCCCCCCCCCCTCCCCGATTCCTGTGTATACATGGGCACGTTTGTCGGTGAGACGCTCTATAACATTTAAAGTTGTTGTGCTTGTAAGCCGATGGAAGTTTACCAGAGCTAGAGAGAAAGATCTGCGTTGAACGCAGTCGATACGAGGCCACGGGGTCGGTGAACGAGGACGTTGGATGGAAGGACGGAGGGGGAAGGGGACGAGTGGTAGGCGGAGGATCGGGATGCTGGAGGAGCTGAAGTGGGGCAGAGGGGGCGTTTGTGGAAAACGCAGAGGAGGATGGAGACGGTGGCAGCCAGAGACCCGTCCGTTAAGACGGAGCGCCAGAGTCGACGCTCTTGCGACTCCGTAAACAAACACGCGGTTTCGTTGTGAATCCCCCCCCCACCCCCCCCAAAATAACGTTGCCTTCATCACCCTCTGGGCTTTCCTCATCCGATGTCTTCCTTATCGTTGTGGTCAGCAGCAGGACAATGATGCGTCTGTACGACGGTGCCCCGGTTTCACCTTCGTTCGAAATCGTCAGCACAGTCGAGCCGTTATTGCCACCCCTGACTCTCCGTGCCGTCTTGCACCCTCCCCCCCGTGTCCCCAACCCATGACGACCTCTGCCCTCCAGACTCGCGCCTCGAAGGGTGGCTCTCGCTGCCAAACAAGAGCAACATCAAGCGCTACGGTTGGAAGAAGCAGGTGACCGCCGTTTACGCCACGCGCCGCTCACACGGCACGCAACCCCAGTGACGGTGGAGGCGACTGCCATTATCTCCCTTGTGATGACCACGTCCGCGTGTCTGCGAGCGATATCCGCGCGTCAGAATCCTTGCGTCTGCACGCGCATTTTGTGCTTCTGCGCAAACGTTTGGGCCTCTGCGCCCGTGTGTGCGGCCGTGTGTGCGTGTCGCCGTGCGTCCCCCCCCGACCCCCGACCCCGCCGCGCGTCACACCACCGTTTGTCTCCGCCGCAGTTTGTGGTGGTCAGCAGCAAGAAGATCCTCTTCTACAACGACGAGCAGGACCGAGTCCACGCCAGTCCCAGCATGGTGATCGACCTCGAGTGAGTCGCTCGCAGACATCCATCTTCCCTCCCTCGCTCGGCAACGCCGCTCCGATAATAAACACAAGCACGAGTTCCGGCTTTGATCGCGAGCGCGCCTTCACAACACATTTGAAAGGGGGCACCCCCAGTGGCAGCTGTCCCTGTGCGGCGCGAGGTGGACTCGGCACCTGAAGCGGGATCTGAACTCGCTCGACCGCCGGGCCACGGGACACGTTTGCGTAATTCCCATTGTGCATTGCTGGTGGTGAGCGCTGAGTGCCGATCGGGCATTGCGTGCGTTCGCGTGATCGTGTCTGTGCGTGCGTTCGTGTGATCGTGTCTGTGCGTGCGTTCGTGTGATGGTGTCTGTGCGTGCGTTCGCGTGATCGTGTCTGTGCGTGCGTTCGCGTGATCGTGTCTGTGCGCGCGTTCGCGTGATCGTGTCTGTGCGTGCGTTCGCGTGATCGTGTCTGTGCGTGCGTTCGCGTGATCGTGTCTGTGCGTGCGTTCGCGTGATCGTGTCTGTGCGTGCGTTCGCGTGATCGTGTCTGTGCGTGCGTTCACGTGATCGTGTCTGTGCGTGCGTTCACGTGATCGTGTCTGTGCGTGTGTTCACGTGATCGTGTCTGTGCGTGCGTTCACGTGATCGTGTCTGTGCGTGCGTTCGCGTGATCGTGTCTGTGCGTGCGTTCGCGTGATCGTGTCTGTGCGTGCGTTCGCGTGTCTGTGCGTGTGTTCACGTGATCGTGTCTGTGCGTGCGTTCACGTGATCGTGTCTGTGCGTGCGTTCGCGTGATCGTGTCTGTGCGTGCGTTCGCGTGATCGTGTCTGTGCGCGCGTTCGCGTGATCGTGTCTGTGCGTGCGTTCGCGTGATCGTGTCTGTGCGTGCGTTCGCGTGATCATGTCTGTGCGTGCGTTCGCGTGATCGTGTCTGTGCGTGCGTTCGCGTGATCGTGTCTGTGCGTGCGTTCGCGTGATCGTGTCTGTGCGTGCGTTCGCGTGATCGTGTCTGTGCGTGCGTTCGCGTGATCGTGTCTGTGCGTGCGTTCGCGTGATCGTGTCTGTGCGTGCGTTCGCGTGATCGTGTCTGTGCGTGCGTTCGCGTGATCGTGTCTGTGCGTGCGTTCGCGTGATCGTGTTTGTGCGTGTGTTCGCGTGATTCTGTCTGTGCGTGCGTTCGCGTGATCGTGTCTGTGCGTGCGTTCGCGTGATCGTGTCTGTGCGTGCGTTCGCGTGATCGTGTCTGTGCGTGCGTTCGCGTGATCGTGTCTGTGCGCGCGTTCGCGTGGTCGTGTCTGTGCGTGCGTTCGCGTGATCGTGTCTGTGCGTGCGTTCGCGTGATCGTGTCTGTGCGTGCGATCGCGTGATCGTGTCTGTGCGTGCGTTCACGTGATCGTGTCTGTGCGTGCGTTCGCGTGATCGTGTCTGTGCGTGCGTTCGCGTGATCGTGTCTGTGCGTGCGTGTGCATTCACAGCAAACTGTTCCATGTGAGGGCGGTCACGCAAGGAGACGTCTACAGGGCTGACGCCAAGGACATCCCGCAGATATTTCAGGTGGTGGTCGTGATGCTGTTGCGCTTTGCCTCTTCGTAAACATTTTGCTCCACCACGTCTTTGGAAAAACCCACGTGCCTCATCGTCATCATAATCAGTCATCCTCAATCCACTGCTGGATGAAGGCCCTCCTATTGCCAGTTCCGGCGATCACAGAGTGGTACGTTGCAGGTTGTGCTTCAACACCGCCGAGAGAGGCAACACCAACACGGTCGATATCACCACCACGCTCTCCCCTCGCTCTCCCCCCATTCGCTCTCCCCTCCCTCTCCCCTCGCTCTCCCCTCCCTCTCCCCCCCTTCGCTCTCCCCTCCCTCTCCCCTCGCTCTCCCCTCGCTCTCCCCTCGCTCTCCCCTCGCTCTCCCCTCGCTCTCCCCTCGCTCTCCCCTCCCTCTCCCCCCCTTCGCTCTCCCCTCCCTCTCCCCTCTCACCTCCCCCTCCCTCTCCCCTCCCTCTCCCCTCGCTCTCCCCTCCCTCTCCCCTCCCTCTCCCCCCCTCTCCCCTCCCTCTCTCCTCGCTCTCCCCTCCCTCTCCCCCCCCTCTCCCCTCCCTCTCCCCCCCCTCTCCCCCTCCCTCTCCCCTCCCCCTCCCTCTCCCCTCGCTCTCCCCTCCCTCTCCCCCCCCTCTCCCCCCCCTCTCCCCTCCCCCTCCCTCTCCCCTCGCTCTCCCCTCGCTCCTGTCCCCAGATCCTGTACGCGAACGAGGGCGAGAGCCGCAAGGACCAGGACCCCGAGTCGACGGGCGCCCCAACGCCGCCGCCGGCGACAGCCTGCCTGCCGCACCGCGGCCACGAGTTCATCCCCACGCTCTACCACTTCCCCACGGGCTGCGAGGCGTGCGCCAAGCCACTGTGGAACGTCTTCAAGCCGCCCGCCGCGCTCGAGTGCCAGCGCTGCCACTTCCGCTGCCACCGCGACCACATGGAGCGCGGCGAGGAGGTCGTGCCGCTCTGCAAGGGTGAGTCTCGGCGCGCGCCCCACCCACGGGGCCGTTCTCCCGGTGATCGCGTACGCCGGTGAATCCCGCTCACCTGGTGATCCCGATCACCGATCATCTCAATCACCGGTCATCCCATTCACCAGCCAATCTTGCTCGCAAGAGGTCTGATTCATGGGGGGGTCCTTTCAAATGTGTGAGATGCGATGTTACGCGACTCGCTTATCGCACGCAAGGCGATCCGAGACGCCCCGGGGTGGTGGTGACCTTGCAGCACTGCATGGCGCACGTTTGGCAGACGGACAGAGCTGGCGCATCGACGCTTTCAACCTTAGCGTTTCAATATCACCACGGACGCGTCTCTCCCCTGTCTCTCTCTCTCCCCACCCGTCCCCCTCCCCACTGTCCGCTCCCTCCCACACCGCAGTGACCTTCGACATGACCAGCGCCAAGGTGCTGCTGCTGCTGGCGTCCACGCCGGACGAGCAGAAGCAGTGGGTGTCCCGTCTGCTCAAGCGTGTGCCCAAGAAGCCGCCGGGCCTCGCCGACCAATTCCTGCGCGGCTCTCCCCGCGCCTCTGGCCGGGCCCAGGCCACCAAGGACTCGTTCCGGCGCCAGGCCCGCCCGCCGCCGCCCAATGCCGCCGCCGCCGCCAAGACCAGGTCAGCATCGCTGGAGCGCGGCGCCTCCGCCATGGCGGCCGCCGCCGCGGCGTGGACCGGATCGGCGGGGGAGCTGGCGTCGGCGTGCACGTACGGTTCGGTGTCGGCGCTGGAGTGCTGGGCCGGGCGCGAGTCCGAGACGGATTCCGGCTCGGACTTGGGGACCCCGTGCACGCCGGCCGGGGAGGCCCGACCCTCGGATCCGGCCGTGGCCGAGCCGGATCCCGAGCCGAATCCCGAGCCGGATCCCGAGCCGGAAGGCGCGACGGCCGCTTCCGTTCCGGCCGCGTCGACGTCTCCGGAACCGCCGTCGTCGCTCTCGGCGACGACGGTTCCGGAGCCGCCGTTGTCGGCGTGGCCGCAGCAGTCGCTTCCGGCCATGTTTGCCGGGCCGGGCTCCGTGCTGGCGTCCGTGCTGGCCTCGTCGGGGTTTGCGACGGGCCAGCCGGCGCCGCACGGCTCCGGGTCGGCCTCCGCGCTCGCCTCCGTGCTGGCATCGGTTTTCTCGTCGGCGATGGTCGCCCGGTCCGCCGTCCCCGCTCATGTCCCGGCACGTGCCGGAACATCGACCGAACCCCTCGCCGGGGCCTCCCCGGAAACGGTCGATGGCGAAGAGGAAAGCGAGTAACGCCGACGGTTCGCGCCGTGCTCGGAGCGGCCCGGGTCTCGACCTATGGCACAAGGGGCCGGGCCTGCGTCCCTCCTCGTGCCGTGAGCCACGAGGTCTCGCCCTCGCGCAGTGCCGCTATTCTCACGAACCGCACGGGATCGGTTCGGTTAGGGGACCGGCTTGCCGTGGGGACGAGGGCTCGTTTTGCGTAGCCTGGTTGTGGCGCTGAGCCGGCGTGCGTGGGTAGCGGGGCATCGGACTGGCCGGCCGTCCGTCGGATAGAAAAGCTGCTCGCTCACAGCTCGAGTTGGGTGCAGGAACGCCAGAGGCTCCAACCGCCACTCCCATCTGTCGTTCTCTGCCAGTCATTCCGTTCTCCACCGTTGTCATTGTCTCTTATTTCACCCCGTGTCCCTCGCACTTTTAAATTGTTTCATTTTTGAGCACACACGCATATTATTTTTTAACTTGAACTTTTACATGTTTTTTGTCTGCACGCCATCTCCTTTCCATTGTCGATTTTGTCCGTTTTAGTTTTGCTGCGATTTATTTTTAACGTTCATTTGATTTGTGTCGTGTGCTACCCCCCTGTCGTCCCCCGTGCCTTTTAGTTAATGTCGGCCATTGTGAAGATCCACCCCGCTGTGTCCCGCCATCATCCCCCCACGCTGTCCCGCTCATTCCCCCGAGACGGAACGCTCGGCGCGACGTTTACCTGGCGTTGAAAACACGAAGACTCTACTTAAAAAAAAAAACGTCCTTCCCCCCCCCCTCGCCATGAAGAATCGCTGCTCGGATCGTTGGGTGCCATCTCGGCCGAGCCGTGCGAACACTGCCACCGGAAAGGAATTACACGTCGGGCACATCTTAAACGCGACGCTGTTTTAATGCCTCCGTTGCTTGTGATGATTGTAATTATGGTTCGTATAATTGTGTTGATGACGGTCTGTGGCCCAGCCTGTCTGTCCCCAGGGAGTTGTGGGCAACGCTGCGGGGAGCCGAGGACACGACGGTGGCGGTGATGATCGCTGTCGTTCTGAGGTCCTTGCCGTCTTACGTTGAAGGCGTCAAGGCAGGATTTTCTGTCGAGCCGGTGGTTGAGGAACCTTTTCCTTGCCTCAAATCGAGTTTTCAGATACCTCCCTTCGAGAGGTCCCTTGAAGTGATGGAAGTGGTCGAGGTGAGCTCAAGTTTTGAACACGGTGGCGTCCCGTTGCCAGGTCCACAATATTCCCCACGCTCGATTGGTGCGGCTTCGACGCTTGCGGCGATGGGGGTAAAGTTTGTTTTGTAGTGGTAGGTCATGATGAAGTTAATTTGTGGGCCGCATCTGGCTCCTTGGACCAAATAAGTTCCCCACCCCCCCCCCCCCCCCAGCTGTCGAGAATACCCCAGCCGGCAGGTATGCGGGTGCGTACGTATACGTGTGTGTGTGCGTGTGCTCAGTATAAACACATGTGTGGGAAGCGGAGGTGCAGTGGCGAGCGCGTTGTGTAATCGAACCCGAGTTGGATTACCGACCAATGCTAGAATTGGTGGCGAGTGGTATGTGAACCGGTTCTGGGCCTCTCCTAGGTCAACTCGGCCTTAAAAACGGTACATTGTGTAAATATTAAGCATTGGGAAGAGAGAGAGGTCGCCTGGAATGTGGTGCTGACGGCACCGCCCGTTAATCAGGTGCTCGCTAAGAGTCGATACGGCGATGTGCGGGGGGGGGGGGGGTTGGATCTGCATCTAGAATAAAAAAACGAATTTCGGCAGTAATACCGCACACGTGAACAAAGACATCGCCGCTTTCGCCATTGCCGCCGCCTTACAATAGAAACGAACAACCTGACGTTTCGGGCAGTGGCCCAGAGCAGAGAGATAGAGAGAGAGAGAGAAGTCGTCTAACCCGAGTCCTACCTAGTCGTAGTCGTCGCTAAAGCTATCCATCGTCGGGCCGTTTGGAATATTTCCTCCAGGTTCCCGCGATCCCATCAATCCCCCAGGGCTTCATGTCCACATGAAGCCCTGGGGGACAACTTTCAGCGGGGAGATTGGCGGCGCAGTGGTTGGCACGCGGCGTGGTAAGACCAAAAACCGCGGTTCCATTTCCAAGCCGCGGGCAACGTGATTGGCGAGCGATATCTCAACCGGTCCTGCGCCGCCCGTTCCCCTTCGCCAGCCCCGCTGTCGCCATTGCGGTGAAGTATGGTGAAGGAACCCCGAAAGCGGACACGGCACACGGAGGGAGGCATTCCTCCAGCAGCGGAATTGACAAAGTCCCGCACCGCCGGTTAGCACGGTTGGCTACGTACGGTGGGAAATAAGTTGAGCATGTACACAAACGAAGGAAGTATTAATGCCGAATGTTGTTTTTGATGTGCTTCTTGTTTACAGGTCACCATATAAAGTGGTCCAGATGTCTTGTGGCCACCCCCCTCCCCTCAATTGACCCCTGACATTTTTTTTTACCTTTGCATATTCATTTATGTTTTAAATAACCCTTTAAGAAAAGATTATGTTTTACAGAATTCAATGGGGGAAAGTCACAAGACATCTGGACCACCCCGTATTTAAATGTACTCGTCTATGTGTGAGTCGGCTCATAACCCGTCACTGTGATTGTGACATGAGTGGAGCAACTCTGGTACACGCATAAACACTGCTGTGAAGATGAATTTGCATGCTGCAGGATGTGCGTGGGAAGAAGGATTGAGAAAACACGAAAGCGGGTTCAAGCCAAGAAGTTGAAAATTCACATTTTTACAAAGTGTCTTTTGTATCGAACGCTGCGGTGTTCTTTGTGATACGCGCACATATCCGAGGTATGTGGTGCCGATTTTCAGATGAACCAAACAAAGATATCTGAAAATCGGGCCGATGTAGAAACGACATTTCGGTTGATCAAGGGAAAAAAAAGGAAAAAGTTCGATTTCCGATTGATCCGAAACTTCTGACGTCACAGGACACGATGTCACTTGTGTCTCGTCGCTTCCAAAGCAACTCCTCCCACCCGAGGTGACGTCACGCTGTTCCCTTGAATTCCCACCACGTCCGCCTCGGCCTTCGTGGTCCCCGTGGTTTCAGTCGCGTTGCCAACCACTCCCGGATTGGCCGGGAGTCTCTCCCGGAATTTGCAACGATCTCCCGGTGACTATTGAGAGCAATCCGGAAGATTTTAAGAGGATATTTTTGTAAAATAAATGGATACTAATTAACATTTGTGCATAATACAGGGGTTTTTTTGGGTTAGATTGCGTAAATATAAATGTGTCGTTAAACCCGCCACCACCCGACACAGCCAACTAGTAAGGGTTGTCACGTAAACAGAACGTGGCCAATTCGTCACTAGTACAGCACTAGTGTAGTGTATAGTGTAGTATACTAGTACAGCACACCGGTGTGTTGGAAAGCCAAGCCACAACATTTACAATCTGAGTACGACGTTTCGCCAGTAATTAAAACTAGTTTCATCAGGCGACAACCAAATCTGGCGAAACGTCGAACTCAGATTGTAAATGTTGTGGCTTTGCTCTGCAACACACCGGCGTTGCTGGACTAGTAACGAATTGGCATGTTGTGTTTACGTGACAACCCTGACTACTGTAATTGGCTGTGTCGGGTGGTGGCGGGTTTAACGACACATTTATATATTTACACGATCTAACAAAAAAAAACCTGTATTATGGATGACATTGGTCGCAAAAGCATACGTGTTAAACCGCATTTTATCCGTAGATCCCAATGACCATGATTTATACAGAAGTTCATTTTTTTTATCAATGACAATCCTTACACCCACGCGATAAGATGGTGGCTCGACATTGATTTTGTCAACGGGGTTGAACAGTACAACATTGCATCATGTTGTAAAAAAATAATAAAAATCCTCCCGGATTAGCTTCAGTCAAGAGTTGGCCACCCACCGTGTGTAACAATGATAGCGGATTGTTGCGGATTGGCGTTCACTGCCTCGCGCCAATAAAAACCCCAGCCGACGAGCACAATTTGCCCTCTTGTGCAAGAACACAAACATAATTTGCCTCTGACGCCTTTCCAAGCTAAATAACAGCTGCCTGTACCAAGCCAAAGTCGCGGTCACGTTGAAGAAAAACAAAAGCACATTCCCAACGTTTCTACTTTACAATTGTCGCTATTACTTTTATGGCCATGGGGAGGGAAAGTCACGTGGTGGTCGATATCCACCAGCACTCGGGCAGACGAATCTTCGTAGAGTGTTCATCAGAGGTCGCAACCGGGTACCCGATACCCGTACCCTACCCGATACCCGGCTACCCGTACCCGGCCGGGTACGGGTACCCGTTTGCGACCCTGGTGCGGCCGGGTACGGGTAGACCGTGAGTCACTGGTGAGTCACCGTTTGTCACTCATTTCCCAACGTCTTGTCTCTTCTCACAATTCAAGTTCCTAGAATCAACCCACCCGCGCCTGCAACATGGCTTCATCCCAGAGGTCGCAATCAGGCACCCGATACCCGTACCTTACCCGGCCGGGTAGGGTACGGGTACGGCCGGATGCGGGTATGGGTACCCGTTTGCGACCCTGGTGCGGCCGGGTACGGGTAAGGAATCAAAACCCGTTTGTGACCTCTGGTGTTTAGAAATTCGTGCTTCTGTTGGGGGGGCGGGGGGGCGGAATAAACCGGCCATGCCCTGCTTCCATGGGCCAGCGCGTTGCAACAATCCGCTGTGTTGCGGGGGGGGGGGGGGGCTCCCAAGTGTCATCGTCATTTTTTTCGCTTCCAATTTCAGTCGGTGACGAGTTCGGTTGAGCGTCTGGGGCGTACGATCTCGACTGTGAAGGGGGCGGAGTTTACTATCGTTTTATTTATAAGGCACGGTAAATATTTTTTATATATATATATAAAAATCTATACGGTATATGTATCGTTACAAGTCGGTCCTGCACGCAATATATAAAACGATGGTCACCTATGAATGTGTGTGTATATGCGTATATGTCTCTGTAGGTGCACCAAGCCTGGCACAGGCGCCGTGGTGACATCGCCACTTAGTGGCGAATGGTGGTTGTGTGGGGGGGAGCAGTGGTGCAGTGGTGGTTAGCGCGCTGCGCCAATAACCCAAAGACCACCCGAGTTCGAGTCCCGCTCACGACCTATAAGCAGTGCCGGATTGTCCCAGTAGCACAAGTTGCTACAGGCCCCGCACTTTCAAGCTGTCAATTCCGGTTCAGTGATTCTGCACTTGCTCTATTACTACAGTACTATACTGCCTTCAATTTTTATGAACGATTGGGTGTTTAAGGTTAGCGATTTTTCGTATTATCTGGCTGTATAGCAAATGAAAAAAATACAATTATTTTACTATGCAAGTACATTTTAAAATATTTGAGTTTATTTATTTATTTAGCGCCCCTTTATAATATATGCTACAAGCCCCGCACTAGCTTCATCCGACACTGCCAAGAAGTGATGCATATTTGAACTGCTCCTGGTCCTCCACTAGGTCGACTCGGCCTCAAATGAGTATCTGCTGTGGTGTGTAAACATCAGTACTGGGGAGACAAAGGCGGCCGGGCGTGGTGTTGGACACCCACCCCCTCGTGTACCGTGCCGGCCTTCGTAGGTGCTAGCAAGCAGCACTTGCCCCAAGTCTGTTACAGGCTACACGGGGGATCTTTGTGTATGAGCTTGACCTTTTCTTGGTAATTTTTTTTTATGTTTTGGTTTAATGTGATTAAGGAGTCACCCCCATCACTGCCACCAACACCAATATAGTGAAACTGCTGTGTGTGATTGTAAAGCCATCGTCTGTATAAATCAAATCAGGTCTGCACGATGCATGAGTGTTACATTTTGAACGTTGTTGTGTCTTCGAACCCTTACCAGGGCCTTCTCGGCTGCCCTAACTGAATCTGGCTCCGTTTCTGACGGCGATGTGAGTCTCCGATCCGGAGAAACCGATGCACGATGCAATCCGGGGGTTTCGCACAGACTTGTGTGCACGGGCTGGGCTCTGACATCGAGTACAACATCCGCGCTTGGGATGTTTGTGAAGCCCCAGGCGGAACGCTTGCAGTCTTTCTGGACCGGAGTCTGGACTTGCACTGCGCCGAGGTATTTGTGACGTGGGCTCATCGTCAATTGCCAACCTGGGACATTGTTTTGGGATTCCTGCGTTTGGCTTTGCGCGCATTTATATTTTGGCTGTCGGCGTGATGTCGGTAAAGGGAAATGGTTGGGCTTCAAAGGTGGCCAGAGAATAGCAGGTCAACAGTGCATCGTTGAATCCCATCCGTGCAGAGATTAGCATGGGTGGTGGTGGTGGGTGTACTCTGGGAACTTTCGTTTCCCACGCACACGAAGCCAAACACTCTTTCGTGGAATTGGGCCAAAACATCGTGGCTCGCGGACTTAAGCATTGGCATTTCAAGCTCCCGAACGCATCGCTGCCACCGTAGCAAGAACAGAATGTAGTCAGGGCTCTCGTGAAAAAAGTCTTAACACTCGGCGAGAGCTTTTCTACATACAAATAAATGGGACAACTGTGACGTCACACGACTGTGACGTCACCACGCATCATCAGTCGAGTTGTAATTTCAACGTAATCTTTATTTCAATATTTTCCGAAACGTGACGATCGAACGAAAATAGGAGTGCGACAGAGATTCAATTTCCCCCGCCCCAACACCCCCCCTCTCCGAGCTAGTTTTACAAATAAAAATAAACAAAATAACGAGCGAGAAAGACATTTAAAAATAGCACCAAGCACGCTGAACGTGCAGGGGGCTACAAGCGGCTGGACCCTAATCTTAGCCAAAGCCTTCATCCGCAAATAAATATCCAGAGACGTGAAGGGGGCACGGCCGCGTCAAAGGCTACGCCAACCAACAAGGTTCCCCTCGGCAATGAGAAGGGGGGGGGGGGGGGGTGGAGGCGAGGCATATATAAACAAGTGGTTTGTAAATTGTGTACATTCAAAACAAGCGGGCCCGGTTCGCTCGAGAGGGGCCGAGCGCAGTGGCCGTCGGCTGTGGAGTGCTCGGGCGTTGTCACTGCCCTCGAGTGGCCCAGGCACCCCACCGGGCTCTCCTCTCCCCTCGCTCCCTTCCCCCGAATGCGGTCACGGTAGGCGGCAATGCCGGGCCACTAATCGGCGGAGCCGGCACTGCTGTGAATCCGTGGTTAAAGGCACGCGGCCGTGGTCTCAGCCCGGCCACCACTGACTGCAAGTAAATACAACTAACTTTTTGTTGATTGTCTTCACCGAAATTTGGCATCTTCATGAGAATGTAAAATGCACGATTTGACCGTCATGCAAAGCAAACGGCGATCTCACAGCAAAGTGTGGAAAAGTGCGCCCCCTACTGTCGTGAAGATTAAAAAAAGGCCTTGTGAAGGCTCCTCCATTCTTGAACACGTGGGGGGCGGGGGTGAGGGGGTCACACAACAGCGCTGTGACACTTTACAAATGGATCCCTCCACTTACGGTCGGCACGACCGCCACGATTGCGCGTCGGAAACAAAGGTGCACACTTTGGGGTAAAAGGACAAAGAAATAAATTGTTGATCGAGAGAGCCGGAGTTGAACTCGCAGTCCGAGCTGTTGATGAGTAACCAAGCTCAATATGAACTGGAATCCAACCGAAGGCTGTTTGATTGAGAGACGCGCCAGGGGTGAGCTCGACTGCACCGTGAACGCCTCCGTTTGACAAGTCGAGAGCTCTCGATCGAATCCCTCTCCGTTTCGGTCGACATGAAGCGCACCTCAAGCATCGCTGCCCTGCTGTCCGGTCGATTAGTAATCGATAACGATGACTCTCGTGATAATTGTATCCACTCGTGTGTCTGTGTGAGAATCGAAAGCTTTCGATTCCTATGCCCTCAATGTGCCCGATCTTGCCGGATTTTGGAAGCTAAGCGGCGGCGAGCCTGTTTAGCGATTGGATGGGCGGGCAACACCATGGGGCTTGCCGGGTGTTTGTCGACCCCTTGTACAAAGCTCGGTGGGTTTTCCCCGGTTATCTCCCACAACGAAAGCCAAACTCTGAGTTTGTGGAAGTGATGGCCAAAGCGTCCCAATTTGGCAGGACACTCCTTAAAAACGGAGCCCTGAGACTCGGTGAGGCTTTCCTGGGCGAGTTCCTGGGTTTAACGACGGATGCTGAGGCAACGACCATGGGTGGCTCGAGAGCTTGAGGTGGAGTTCACGCCTGTATTATTGCGACATTTAAAGCGCCCTCATTTGACGGTTCGGTAAACGACAACCGCTTGGGACGTCTCCCAAATGATATATTTTCGGCCGGAGTGCAACTTCTCACTAACGACATATTTCTCAACCCACAAAACTTTCATGCTTGCTCAAGCTGCACCTGATTGACAGATCTTGGCTGCGGCGTCCAGAATTTGTATTTACAGGCCCATCTTATTCAAATCCCAGGTAAGTTGGGCACACACATTCTGAACGCCGCCAAACCTGTTTTCGGGCCGTGCCACGCTCCGTTCGGCACGACGTCCGCGCTGTTTCGTTCCGCGTGCCCCCCGGATGGCTCCTTCAATCAACTTTGGTCAGGCAACGTGGAGCGAAGCGTCGGGACGTCGCGCCGAACCACGCGTGGTTCGAAAAGCGCGTCGGAGAAGCCGTGCGGCAGTCTCCTCCTGAAGTCGTTTCTTAATCCCAAGTCTGCTCGGGTCGACGGAACACTGGGCGACTGGGCGTAAGCGCCGGACGTCCGAGCGAGTTGTCTTCCCGTCGACGCTTTAAGCCGACGGCATTTCCATTCGTCCGCGCTGGCAAGTCTTTGAATTGCCAGAGTGGTGCCTACGAACCCGTGCTACGAACCCACGCTACGAACCCGCGAAACCTCCGTTCAATTCACAACCACCGCCGCCGTCACCAGCACCAAGCGCCGTCTAAACCGAACCCGCGCTTCCACCACCACCGCGTCGACCGGGCAGGTGAAGTATGGACAACAACACACAACCCCCCCCCCCCCGAAAGACAAAAACATTTGGGAGGCCTTCATCCAGCAGTGGAGTGAGAAAGGTCTGTAAATTAAAAATAAAAATTTCGTACGATTCAACAAGCGGAGAGCGTCTCTTCGCGTGGCTAACTGGCAGTGATGAGCATTCGCTATCGCAGCGCGTGAATCTCACAATTCACGCCTCCATCCCCCCCCTTCCCATCCCATGTGGAATTGTAGCTGCAACGGTTGCACCTCAACATCAGTCTTCATTGTTTTTGTTGTGTCCCAACAGCGGTGCGAGTACGCACCGCGGCCGCGCTTTGGGGTCGGGACGGAGGAAGGGTTACGGCTCGGGCGAGGCTCGTGGTTTTGGGTTTGAACCTAACCCCGGAAGCGTCTGCGGTCATCGCGACATCAAAAACATCGTGCAGTGGCTGACTACGAGCGTCTCAGCGGAGACGTTGACGTTAAACGCTTTACGTAATATATATACATATTTCAAAGTAACACGAGCGAGCCGAGAGTCGGGCCGCGACCAAGCGACTTTGTCGGATGCGTTGACACGGGACGCGAGCAAAGTGACCCCGCGGGAAAGGCTGGCACGGTGGTGACGCTCGGACAGAGAAGGGCAGCAACAACTTGGTACAAGGGCAGGCACCAGCTCACAAGCTTGGTACAAGGGAAGGCACCAGCTCGCACACCCCCAAAGAACCCACTGGGGGTTGATTTTACCTGGGTTGAGAGTTCGACTCCCGCTGTGGTCCCACGGTGCGCGAGTTAAAGTGCACAAACGATGCGATCCTCCGCCCCCCACCCTGTACCACCCCCGTGTGTGTCGCTGCACTACGCACCTGTACCACCCCCGTGTGTATCACTGCACTACACACCTGTACCATCCCGTGTGTCACTGCACTACACACCTGTACCACCCCCGTGCGTGTCGCTGCACTACGCACCTGTACCACCCCCGTGTGTTGCTGCACTACGCACCTGTACCACCCCCGTGTGTATCACTGCACTACACACCTGTACCACCCCCGTGTGTATCACTGCACTACACACCTGTACTACCCTGTGTATCACTGCACTACACACCTGCAATACACACCTGTACCACCCCCGTGTGTGTTGCTGCACTTCGCACTTTTTTAGCGATGGCCAGCGGACGGGGCTTACATTCGTTGGTCTCTCAAAAGGCTGCTTCAGTGGCGGTGGGGGCTACCCGGTACAATATATATTTGTATTTTTTACGCAGCGGTAAATATAACATTCCACATTTCTTTTTCCTATATTCACTTGCCCTAATGGGGCAACAGTCGACTCTACAATTTACCGGGTTCATTCGGAAGCCGGGCATCCCTGGTTAAAACAAAACGCGGTTGATGCCCACCACGACATCCGGAATATACAGACCGCGTTGGCGTCGGGGGTGGGGTTCAGACGTAGAACGTCTCGTCCCATTGTATTGCATCTTCAAAGTCACCGGTGGACTTGCCGCTGCGTTTTGCGGTCACGTGGGCACCGAGATCGGTGGACCCTCGACGAGTGAGGAGTGGCTGACTGATTCAACCCGCACCCGCTCGCATGTAACCACGCGTTATAAAAATGTTTTGCAAGCGCTGGAAATCCGCAACTCCCGGGGGGGGAGGGGGGGGTTACAGTCTACCCACGGGCGATGGAGAGTTCACATCCCCGCTTCACGGCGGAACGCCGCGTAAAGGCGTTCGTTAGTATCGGGGGGGGTTGGGGGGTGGTTTCATTGACCCCTGGGGGCTCTCGTCTCGATTGGCCACTAGCTCAGTTTCCCCGCTCGGCTTTTTGAAGGTTAATCTTTGTTCAAGACGCGTCAAGCGCGGGTGGGAGCGGGCGGGCACAGAATATTTATAAAAACGACGGCAACTTTATTTTTCCGACAACCGGTTCCCCCCCCGCCCCCCGCGGTTAAGTTACAAAACGCGGTTCGAGATCGAGTCCGGAAGATAAAACATAAAACATTCGACGACGACGACGCTGCTCGACTCCGTTGTTCGTGTTTAAAAGGTCACCGCGCGCTCCTCCCAAGGCCGGGGTTCGCTCCCCCCATCGCCCCCACGGCCGCATCGCCCCGGCCTTCACCAGCAGCACGTGAGCCCCCCCCCCCCCCCCCCACCTGCGCCCCCCCCCTTAACTTCTTATTTTGACCTTGGTGTCTAAAAACAATCCAAATGTAAAAGGTGCTTCCCTGCAACTGCTTGCTCACGCTACTGTTGGCGGAGGGGGGGCCCTGAACAACGCTCCAGGGAGCTCTGTGTGGGCCCCCTCCCACCCCCTCCCTCCTAGATTGTATTTGGTCTACTCTTCCACGCTGGCCACCGCCGGTGCCTTCGAAGAGGCGGGCGTTGTACGCGACCGAACGCGGTGCCGTGGCGAACCCTTTTACGCTGCTGGGTGTACAGACGAGATGGCGGGTAGCGGATTTTAAGAAACCTGCGCCGTTGAAATTCAACGGCCGAGCGCACGCACACCGAGAGACCGAAGCTGGGACCCTCTGGATCGCGCACACCGCAGCGTCCGTCTGTCACCGTCGACACAAACTCATGTACACACGGGGGGGGGGGGGGTGGGGGGGGCGGCGCTCTGGTCTAAATGTAGATGTTGGCTTTTTGTCGAGGCTGGCGGTGGGAGAGGGGTCCGGGCCCCCCTCCCTCTCACAGCCGCTTGCCCGGCTTCACCTTGCAGGAGGGCGCGGTCGTTATGAGCCCCCTGTGTCGCATCATCGTGTTGGCTTTCGCGTCCTTCGCCGCCTGAAGCCTTCTGCAAGGCGACTGCTGATTGGACAGCTGCTGCTCCTTGATGACTGCGGTCGAGGGTCAGGTGGGTGGCAACAAGACAAGAGCGACGGTCGTTAACGAAGCGAGAGGGTCGGGCCTGTGACCTCCTGCCCGCGGGCGGGCGTTCGACACTTCACGTGGCTTCAATGTGCACATAGCCTGGCACAAGCGTCGTAGTGACGTCACCGCCACTTAGTGGCGAATGGCCGTTGTTGTGTGTAGCGAGTTGGCACAGTTGGCGCATCTGCCAGTCATCTCAAGTCCGTCAACCCATGCCACACTGGGTCTGTTCCGTGAACTCCTGCAAGCGAGCCCTTGGACGCTTTACGTGGCCTCAAAGTGCACCGAGCATGGCACAACCGCCGTGGTGAAGTCACCGCCACTTCGTGGTGAACCACGGTTGTTCTGGGTAGTGAGTGTGAGATAGCGAGTGTGTAGGTAAGCGAGTGTACGGTAATACGAGTGTGTGGATGAGTGTGTGCGTAAGAGAGTAAATCAGTAAGTGTGTCGGTGTGCGGGTGTGTAACCGAGTGAAGTTAGCTTGAGCGTGGCTATATGAGTGAGTGGCTGTATGAGTGAGTGGCTATATGAGTGAGCATACGAGTGACTATGAGTGTGTGAGTGAGTGTACGAGTGAGTGATTGATTGACTGTATGAGTGAGTGAGCATGAGTGAGTTTGAGAGTGACTGAGTGAGCATGAGTGTGTGAGTGAGCATGAGTGCGACGATAGGAGGAAGCGAGTGAGTGTACGAGTGAGCGAGTGTATGAGTGAGTGAGTGTACGAGTGAGTGGCTATCCGAGTGAGTGTATGAGTGAGTGTACGAGTGTGCGAGTGAATGAGTGAGTGAGTGTACGAGTGAGTGGCTATCCGAGTGAGTGTATGAGTGAGTGTACGAGTGAGCGAGTGTATGAGTGAGTGAGTGTACGAGTGAGTGGCTATCCGAGTGAGTGTATGAGTGAGTGTACGAGTGAGCGAGTGTATGAGTGAGTGAGTGTACGAGTGAGTGGCTATCCGAGTGAGTGTATGAGTGAGTGTACGAGTGAGCGAGTGTATGAGTGAGTGAGTGTACGAGTGAGTGGCTATCCGAGTGAGTGTATGAGTGAGTGTACGAGTGAGCGAGTGTATGAGTGAGTGAGTGTACGAGTGAGTGGCTATCCGAGTGAGTGTATGAGTGAGTGTACGAGTGAGCGAGTGTATGAGTGAGTGAGTGTACGAGTGAGTGGCTATCCGAGTGAGTGTACGAGTGAGTGTACGAGTGAGCGAGTGTATGAGTGAGTGAGTGTACGAGTGAGTGGCTATCCGAGTGAGTGTATGAGTGAGTGTACGAGTGAGCGAGTGTATGAGTGAGTGAGTGTACGAGTGAGTGGCTATCCGAGTGAGTGTATGAGTGAGTGTACGAGTGAGCGAGTGTATGAGTGAGTGAGTGTACGAGTGAGTGGCTATCCGAGTGAGTGTATGAGTGAGTGTACGAGTGAGCGAGTGTATGAGTGAGTGAGTGTACGAGTGAGTGGCTATCCGAGTGAGTGTACGAGTGAGTGTACGAGTGAGCGAGTGTATGAGTGAGTGAGTGTACGAGTGAGTGGCTATCCGAGTGAGTGTATGAGTGAGTGTACGAGTGAGCGAGTGTATGAGTGAGTGAGTGTACGAGTGAGTGGCTATCCGAGTGAGTGTACGAGTGAGTGTACGAGTGAGCGAGTGTATGAGTGAGTGAGTGTACGAGTGAGTGGCTATCCGAGTGAGTGTATGAGTGAGTGTACGAGTGAGCGAGTGTATGAGTGAGTGAGTGTACGAGTGAGTGGCTATCCGAGTGAGTGTATGAGTGAGTGTACGAGTGTGCGAGTGAATGAGTGAGTGAGTGTACGAGTGAGTGGCTATCCGAGTGAGTGTATGAGTGAGTGTACGAGTGAGCGAGTGTATGAGTGAGTGAGTGTACGAGTGAGTGGCTATCCGAGTGAGTGTATGAGTGAGTGTACGAGTGAGCGAGTGTATGAGTGAGTGAGTGTACGAGTGAGTGGCTATCCGAGTGAGTGTACGAGTGAGCGAGTGTATGAGTGAGTGTATGAGTGAGTGTACGAGTGAGCGAGTGTATGAGTGAGTGAGTGTACGAGTGAGTGGCTATCCGAGTGAGTGTATGAGTGAGTGTACGAGTGAGCGAGTGTATGAGTGAGTGAGTGTACGAGTGAGTGGCTATCCGAGTGAGTGTATGAGTGAGTGTACGAGTGAGCGAGTGTATGAGTGAGTGAGTGTACGAGTGAGTGGCTATCCGAGTGAGTGTACGAGTGAGTGTACAAGTGAGCGAGTGTATGAGTGAGTGAGTGTACGAGTGAGTGGCTATCCGAGCGAGTGTACGAGTGAGTGAGTGTACGAGTGAGTGAGTGTACGAGTGAGTGGCTATCTGAGCGAGTGAGTGTACGAGTGAGTGAGTGTACGAGTGAGCGAGTGAGTGAGTGTACGAGTGAGTGAGTGTACGAGTGAGTGTACGAGTGAGTGAGTGTACGAGTGAGTGTACGAGTGAGTGTACAAGTGAGTGAGTGAGTGGCTATCCGAGCGAGTGAGTGAGTGTACGAGTGAGTGAGTGTACGAGTGAGTGTACGAGTGAGTGAGTGAGTGTACGAGTGAGTGAGTGAGTACGAGTGAGTGAGTGTACGAGTGAGTGTACGAGTGTACGAGTGAGTGAGTGTACGAGTGTACGAGTGAGTGAGTGTACGAGTGAGTGAGTGTACGAGTGAGTGTACGAGTGAGTGAGTGTACGAGTGAGTGTACGAGTGTACGAGTGAGTGAGTGTACGAGTGTACGAGTGTACGAGTGAGTGAGTGTACGAGTGAGTGAGTGACTGAGTGAGTGAGTGGCTATCCGAGCGAGTGTGTGAGAGTGGTTGAGACGCTGTCCGCACCACCGTCTCGCCCGTGGATTCCTGTCGCCAGACTCAGATCTTCGGGCAGCTCCTGAGCCTGCGCCACGCGGCTCCTCTTCTCCCCGTCCACGTCGTCGTCGTCCTGCGACGCGCACACACACACACACAGTCATCACCACCACCCACATATTCTCTCTCGTCTCGGCTACATACACACACGTGTACATGCATGCATAGACAAAGATCCCCCGTGCAGCCTTAACAGACTGTTGGGGCAAGTGCTGTTCGCGAGGGGGAGGTGTGGCTGGAACCACGACCTTTGTCTCCACAGTTCTGATGTTTACGCAGCGCGCCAGTTAATAATTTAATGCTGAGTCGACCTAGGGGAGGCCCAGGACCTGTTCAGATATTCGTCATGGGCAATAAAACTTGTGTCGCCAGCTTTGTAGTGCAGTGCGCTAACCTCTGCGCCACCAATCCCCACAGCATGTGTGATATACACATACACACACACTTGTGCATGCACGCACTTTGCAAACGTAACATTTCGTTTTTTTTGTATATAATCGCTTCACTTGCCAGGTTTTGGTCGTCGTCTTCAAGCTCGTTAAACGTTCTCTTGATGTTCGGCGAACAAAATCTGTGAAAGGCGCGCAAAGAAACAGGGAGAGGGTGCACGCTTGCAATTACAGACGATGAGCCCCACGCACAGGAGAACACGACGCGAGTTCACGTTACATATCAGTCTGGCGCCGTGCAGTTCACGTGAGAAACCACAGACGCGCTCGTGGCGGAGGCAGCCAGAAGCGGCGCTACCGACGATTGCCCAAGCTCTGTGGACCTACACATCGGGATGTTCGGGCAACTCCCATTAATGTGGCAGGAAACCGGGGCACGCGGTACGAGGGGGCGACGCCCTAGCCCCTACAGGCGGAACGAGTGGAGTCCGCACTTTGCCGTACCGCCTTCGGACCAGCCAGTGTATGGCACCACCCCCTTGACGTGCACACGGGGAAGGGATTTTCTCGACGTCCTTGTGTGTTCCGTCAACCCCTCGCTGCTGCTACCTCTAGCGCTGGATTACAGGCCACTTGCATAGCCACCACCGTCCAAGCACGTAAGAGACGCAATCACAGTTAACCGTGAGAAATATAAAAGTTGGGCTTGGGCAGGTTGCGTAACACTGGCTAAGAAGGGATGGTGGCCAGTGGCCGAGACCAAGGGGGGAGCGGCAGTCCAAGGATGGAGTGCGTCCAAGAGGATGGTACTGACGGGCTGGGCCTCACCTTTTCAGTGACAAGACGACTCCTCCTTCCATCTCCATCTCGCTGAGCCCCTCTGCAGCGGGGGGGGGGGGGGGGGGGTGGAAAGCAAAACTCAAAAAAAGCGATCGCTGTTTGTCGAGCGCCGAGGCGGCAGGGAATAAGACGGACGGCGTCGCACGCACAAATCCCGTTGCACGTTTCCGCACGCGGTTTCGTCTTTGTAAAGGGTTCATTGAATCGCGCGCATCGACAAATGCGGTCCATTGGATGATTGTCGCGTGACCGATTTGATGAGCGTGTTACGGGTCTACTCTGGACGACCGAGGGGATCGGTGCGTGGAGGGTGTGGGGGGGGGGCGGTACCTGGGTCTCCGTGCCGCCGGTCCACCTCTTCCACCTTGACGAGGAGGCTCCCCTCCAGGTGCGTCACGCCAGCCTGCGTCACACGCACACACGGCCCCCCTCGGTCATGCGCGGCAACCACCACACGCAAGCATCACACAACTGCCACCACCACTACCACCACCGCTACCACCACCACTCAATGGCCGGTGCCTAGGACCGCTGCTACGGTTGCAGCTATCGAACATGGGCGGGGAGACTCGGCACAGGCTACACCTGCGCACGCGTGCACACGGGGATCTTTGACGTACGTGTCATGTGAGAGTGCGTGCGCACACGCATTTGAAATGACACTGGGCACGTGCACTTGTACATGTACATACACACACACATGCACGTGCGGTGACGTCAACGGTGAAATCCAGGTTGCGTGCGTGCATCGCACCAGGGACGTCTCTGCGTTGGCGTCGCCGTTGGTGGCCGCGTGCCGCGCGCCGGCGCTGCTCCTCGCCCGCGCCGCCATGGAAGCCAGGCAGACGATCACTGCACGCGGGGTGCACCGCGGTGGGTCGCAACGCATCACCAAACTATAAACCAGTAGACAATGTTTTTATTTATTTTAACAGTTAAGGCCCGCTGAGCTATATAGATTTTTTCAGAAGAGACCTGGCCATAAATGTTAGTTCAACGAAGTGGCTTATCACGTGGAGATTTACCGCAGCCAAATACTCTGAATGTTTGTTGATTCTAAATTTGGGAAAAACCGGAGGACCCGGAGAAAAATTCATGCGACCATGGGGAGAGAGACACGCTAACTCCAAAAATGCAGGTGTCAGGGTCGGGATCGAACCCACTACCTCCTGTACACCAGGCGAGGTAGTTAAGATGTCGGCACCACGGCGCTACATTGAGAGGGTCCCGCTACTTTGGGATGTTTAGCCAATTCCATTCCAGAGCGTTTGACTGGCAAGTCCCGATGGGCAAGCATCCAAAACACTGACCTGCCTGGATATTAGTACTGAGTATACTTGGCATTCCTTTGATGTCATGCATATGGGAAAACATGAGGTGTCTGGAGATAACACAAGTAAGTGGACATCATCGCTAAAAGTGTGTGTGTGTGTGACATCTGCTTACCATCCTCTTGCTTGATGACCACGGTGGGCTGATGGCAGATACCTTGAATCTTCTTCGACCCTTGAACTATGACATCGTCCATGGTGGACGAGTCGGCCGTGTCATGTGACCTGGGCTTTATGGCCGTGCTGCTGATGACCTGTGGGGTAGTGCAAAGGTCAGAGGTTACGGGACGCCGCCCACGTAACTATTCACTCCTCGATCTGGTCTTGAGCATTGTCCTTCATGTCACCAGCGAACGGAAAACGACAGTAATTAGCCTGTTAAAACGCCTGTATGCATGACGGTTTAAAGAAATACCACTGTGTCGGACTTTCCCAGAAATATTTGCGAGTCAAAGGTGGGAGAACCACGCATTAATGGCATTTTTTTTACGTTAAATTCATGGTAAAATGTATCCCGACAGTTGTGACATTTTTGCCATTGGGAATCGACACCAGGCCAGAGAATCTGGACCGCAGCTGAAGATTCCCACGGTACTCGACCCTGTCGTCCCACGATAACGTGGGAGCGATGAAAAAAAACCTCACCCCGAAGCTCACTGGCTTCTCCACTTGCTTCTCCTCCACCGCGCTCTTCTCCACAGGTCGCACCACCTCCACCCTTTGACCCTGCCCCTGCTCCTGACAGGTCACGACGCTCATGGGCGCCGCAGGCCCCACCACGTGGCTGCCAGTGGTGCTGCCGGTGCCACCGCCGGCGCCAACGCCATGCTCATTCGCATCGCCCCTGCAGTCGGCGGTCGCCCCCGCCTGCTCCTTGACCGCGCAGTCCGAGCTGGTGACCCAACGCTTGCGCTGGGCGAACTCCAGCAGCAGGGCGGCCTCCAGCGGCAGGGTGTCCGTGTCGAGTGATGCCACTGCTCCCGCCGGCGTCTCCTGATTGGCCAGGCTCATGATGATGCTCGCCGGCTCCTGCGCGTGGCTCTGCGTGTGCAGCCACGGATCGCACGCCAACATTAGGCCAACGTTGCCGTGTTTAATGGGGTGATCGATTTCAAATCGGTTGAACGGCCGCCTCGTGCAGCGCCTGCGTGCGGCTGCATCGCCAAGGGCAACGTCTCATGCATGGGGAAACAAAATGGCCGACTGTTTCTATTCGAGCTCTCGTCGTGAGTTATCAATAAAAAAAAACTTGGCACCATTATCTGATTCGGTCATGGGCCTCCCCCTAGGTCGACTTAGCCTCCGATGAGTACTTGGTGGCGGTGTGTAAATATAGCCACAAGGGAGACAAAGGCGGCTGAGCGTGGTGCTGGCCACCCACCCCCTCGTGTGCCGTGCTAGCCTAAAATGGGTGATCGTTATTTCGTAAGTATGTGTGTCTACTGCATGCGAGTGTGTACATCTGTCTCTGACGATGCGAGTGTCTGCATATGTTTGTCACCTACATATTTGTGGTCGTCTATTTCTGAGTATCTGTGAGAATGTGTATGTATGTCTACTACATATTAGTTCTTCTGTATTTCAGAGTATCTGTGTGAATGTATGTGTATATCTACTACATATGTGTATCTGTATCTCTGTATGTGCATATGCGTCTACTGCATATTCGTGTGTCTATATCTCAGAATCTTTGCGAGTGTGTATATGTCTACTACATATTTCTGTATCTCTATCTCGTAGTATCTGCGAGTGCGTATGTGTGTCTACTGCATATTAGTGTATCTCTATCTCGGAGTATCTGTGCGAGTGTCCGTCCATCCGTGCCTCTTCGTGCACGGTTACTCCACCGAGCGTCCAGCGGCACATTCCACCCTCCCCTGTGCTCCCCCTCCTCTTACCCCAACGCGCCGGCCCTGCCGCCCTCCCCCCCCCCCCCCCCCCCGATGCACGGGAGCCTTCCCCCTCCCCCCCCCGCTGAGCCCCCCCTAACGTGCCGTGCGAGGCCAAACAACGACCGCCACCGCCCGCTCTCCCCTCGCGTTCCCAGGCAGGGGGGCGGGAGCGCCCGCGATGTTATCGGCGTGGAGGGGTTGGCGGCGGGGTGGGGAACCAGAAAATGTTGCCGCGATCGCTCGCCGCCGCGTCCCCGCAAACCGGTCCGGTTGGAACACCGATGCGGGAGAGAACCGTTAAATGCATCGCAGAGCGGTTCGGGTTTTTTTTCTTCCCCCTCCCCCATCTGCCCCCCCACACCCTCCCCGGCCCCAACGGTATCGCATGTACAGGAGGGCAGTACATAAAGTCGGTCGCCTGACCCTAAGCACCCCCCCCCCACCCCCGCCGCGTGCCGGTTTTGAGCGTTTGGAATTTCGTCCGGTAACGTTGCGCGGGCCGATTGCACGCACGGCGAAGCTCGGCAGGCAACACGACCACCGGTTAATTCTCGGAGGGTCAAACAACACCGTGGCTTGCCAGGTGTTGTAGGTGGCGAGGAGTAACCAGGAGATAGCATTACCGAGCCTCACACCCCCACCCCCCATCGCATACAAGTGGTGGGTTTCGTCCCAGGCCAAGCCAAGCCACTTATTAATTAATAGAAGAGGCCAAAACGTCCCCTACGCAGGACGGTCCGGATAACGACTCTGCTCACTTTGAGTCCTCCCCGTTGGAATTGCGGACGTGGCTCATCACCCCCCGCTGCGGAACGCTGACAATGGTTCAAGCATAGCGACGCGTTGACCACACGGCCTGACCCGGAGTGACACACCACGGCCCTCTCTCTCACCTCCTTGGCGCTCGGTCGGTCTCGCTCTCCCGCCTGCCCGCCCCCGGGCGCCTTGATCACCAGCGTCATGTGACCCTCCGTGTCGCGAGATTGTGGGGAGTAGCCGGAGCTCTCTGAGATGGGAACATGGAACGGGGGGCGGGGGTGCAAGTGGCACAAGATTGGGGACGAACGTCAGCTATGAGGAACCGTGAATCGCACATCATCGTCATTATTACGGGGTCAAATCATAGCCCATGCTGCCTGCGTTTCTCAGGGATCACAGACACGGAGCCGGCACCGCTGAGAACCTGAACTCGAATCCAGGACTCAGTCGCGTGACCACGGATTAAAGCGGGTTCTCAAGTGTTGCTGGTTGATGGTTTCGATGAAGTCACCATAGGCTCACATGGAGATCTGTAGACTCACGACGTATAACGAGTTGCGGGTAGACCGGAATTGTTGCGAGGTGATGGTTTTCAACACAGCCACCGATGACCACACACCCGGAACCGTCTCATTACAAACCATCTACGAGCCCAAACTGCGGCCAATGTCGTTGGATCGCAGAAGCCGACCCCCGCAAGGACGACGCGAATACCGGACGCGCTCTCACAAGACGAACGGCCCTCTGGACCTGCTCGAACGCTGGAGGTTGGCGGCTGCAGGAGCGCGGGGGGGGGGGGGGCAATACGCGAGCGCCCGTGCGGGGGATGGCGCCTTAAGCAGGGTAGGGGGCACAGCTGGTGCATCATCGGCCAGTCATCTCAGTCAGTCAGCCCATGCCACCTGGGTCTGTCCCGTGACCTCCCGGCTCGGCCCAAGCGCCGTGGTGACGTTAACGCCACTAAGTGGCGAATGTCGACTGGTGTTGTTGGTTTGCGTGTATTAAGGCTGAGTGAGGAGTGAGGACGAGTGGTGCAGTGGTTAGCACGCTGCGCTATGATGTGGATCAGAAACGTGGATATTTACAAGAAAGTATTGAATAAGGAATGGGCACAGCCTTGAAGTTGTATTGAGGCACAGGAAGAGTGGCACGCGGGTTTCAGACTGCGTGCAAGTGAGAGACACTTCATGTGACAGCCTCAAAGTGCACCTGGCCTGGCACAGGCGCCATGGTGTGGTGACCTCACTGGTCACCGAGTGGCGAACGGCAGGTATCGGTATTATCGGTCCAAACATCCGCGCACGGGTACTTAACGTACTGCCCGCGGCGCGCGTGTGACGAGTCGAGCGCGCGGCTTTGTTCCCCGTGTCGGGCGCATCGCTGCACGCCAGTGAATCGCATCGCACCTGACTACCGCCTGCGTTTATAGGGGACGGTGAGGAATGAGAGGGAAGATAAGGGGTGGTCCGCGTGTGCGCGCCCGTCTGTGCGTGTGTGTGTGTGTGTCTGTGCTGATGGGTGTGTGTGCGCGTCTGTGCTTGTGGGTGTGTGTGCGCGTCTGTGTAAATGTGTCTTTATATGTCTGCGTGCTTAGTGGAGTAGTGTAGTGGGGAGCGCGCTGCACTACGAATCCGGCGACCCGAGTTCGATTCCTGCTCATGGCAAACACCAGTGACGATTATTTTAACCGGTTCTGGGACTCCACGAGGTCGACTCGGCGTCAAATGAGTACCTGGCGCGGTGTGTAAACATCGCTACACGGGGACGGGGGGGGGGGTGTGAGGACGGAGGATCTTTGTCAAAATTCATCACTGCGAGCGTCACGCGGACACAGAGGACAAACCACCCGAGGCCAATTAGCGGCAGCTGAATTAAAACTCCAAAAGGTTGAAAGAAAAAAGAGGCCGAAGAGAAAAGAAAGGAGAGGGGGGCGGGAGGGGGGGGGAAGGTGAGCGGGGGGGGGAGAGCTTTGAAGGCACCTGTGCACGCATGCCGATCCCAAGTTCAGGTTTCTTTTTAAATCGCCCGACCCCGACCGACACGCAGACTCGGCGGTAATTTGGTGGCCGGTTCACGCGTCGGGGCACGCTTGGCTTGCAGCGAGAGAGCTCTCCACACCCCCCCCCCCCCTCGCGCGCTTCCGTTCAGCCCATCATCATCACCGGTTGTCCGCCACGGTGGATAAAACTCGTACCGCTTTGTGGGGGCACGTCAACGGAGGTTGTTTTTTTTCCTTCCTCCCGTTAATGGACTCCGGGGGCTCTGTCACAGTAGGAATGTGGAATTTCCTTTTCACCACTGCCTCTAGGTTTGCCAACGGACGCGGGCGGGCGGGCGGGCGGGCAAGCGAGCGACAGCGCACAGTCTGGTGCGTAGTAACCAGCTAGGACGACCGTGACCCATAGACTCGCTTGGACGCAACAACAGGCGAGAGAGACATTTCATTCGTCAGTCCGTGAAGTCGCCGCGCTCACTGGCGGCGCGCTCGTCGTGCACGGCCGGGGGGAGCGAGCGCGCTCGCTGCGACCCACACGGAGCCAGCGAGCCGTCGTGTTGGTTGAGAGTCTCGTCCGAGAATCGGGAGAACCGCTCGAGTAGCATGGTTGGCTACGTGCGGTGCGAAAGAAGTTCAACGTACGTACAACTTTAATGGAGGGTAAGGTGGGAGGGGGGGTGCATCCTTCCTTTCAAATTTGTTTTGAGTGACAGTTGAGAGCAGCTCTTGAAAACTACCCATAAGGAGAGGGGGGGAGAGGGGGGGGGTGGAAGAGGGGCAGGGATGGGGGGGCAGCCCGCGGGGGGGGGGGCAGCCCGCGGGGGGGCAGCGCTGATGGGTTTCATCAGGCCTCCTAAACAGGGCTCCGAAATTGATTTTGAAAACAAGCATTCAATGGATTTTCGGTGGGGTCTAAACATCAATGAATACCGACTGTGGATCCGCCCCAAGACAGTTGTTGGGAAAGGGAGAGAGAAAGTACCCCCCCACCCTCCCGTGTCGCCCCCACACTCCACCTCCCCCTGGAGCCTGGGATCCCGTGACAGCGGCAAAGTGGTCTGAGCAAAGTCACGTAGAAGGGAAATAATAAAATGTTATTTTATTATTATTTTATTATTTCCCTTCTACGTGACTTTACCGAAAGAACCAAGAATATGAATCCCTGCAGTCACCAAAGCTTTAAATCGAAATTTGGTCTGAGCAAGTTCTATATCATTTTGTTCGTACGAGTGTGGATGCGAGCGGGGTACATCAACAACAAAAAACAACAAAAAACAACAAAAAACTACAAAAAACAACAAGATACACAACCCGCAGAAGACACAGGTGGGGGCAAGGGGGGGGGGGTGACAAAGACACGCTCGAGTGAAGCCCACAGATTTCACTTCTCGTCGAACGGTGCGTGGCTTCCCTGTGGCGAGCGAGTGGGCGTGAGACCGCGACATTGAACCCATAACACCTTGGGGTTTGTCCTGTGACCTCCTCCCCCTCCCCCCTCCAGCGAACCTACATTGCACCTAGCCTGGCACAATTGCCGCGATGTAACCTCTACTCAGAGGCGAATGGTTCGTGTTGTTGTTTGCGGTTGTGAGCGTGCTTATTAATCTGTGTGCTTGTTTATCTGTGTGCTTGTTTCTGAAAGTGTGTCTGTGTGCGCGCATGCCCGTAGTTTTGTCGGACTGCGTGATCGTGTGCGTCAGTGTGTATCGGTATGAGTTCGTGCGAGTGACTGCGTCTTTGTATCTGTACGTGTGTGTGTGTAACGGTCTGTGCGTACGTGTGTATGTTTGTATCCGTGTGCGTGTCCTTGCACGCGTCTATCTATACGTCTGTACATCTGCTTATTTCTCTGCAACGCCTCTGAGCTTGTCTGTGTGTGTTCGTGTTTTCCCCTCTGTGCGCATACCTTGATGCACGGTATGCTCCAGTGTGTGCGCGACTTGATATTCGTATGCGGGCGTCTAACGGCATATGCAGTAACGCAGAACCCCCGTGTGGGTGTGGACTACGTGTCCGTGTAAGACTTGTATATTTAGGTAACTTTGTGTAAGACTTTGCGTCAAATTCCACTCGTTTTGAGATTCCATCTTCACCGCGTGCTATGCTTCTGTCTTTCTCTTTAAAGGCGACCCTTTGCGAATTACCAGTCATCAAACTCAGTTCTGCTTCGTCCACCCACTGCCCTCACCGCCACATTCTCTATCGCTTCTCCGTTGGAGTCTCTGGTAAACTTTCCTTGGTCGGCTCCTATCGTTAAAACACGAGCTCTGCGCATTTCGTGAGTCGTGTGTGGATTGTACATCGGCAGTTCGCCAGTATTGATTCAAGCGAGCCTGACTGCTGCTGATGATGATTATGAGACACTGCGTGTCGAAACCGGACCATAGTTTTGCTTGTGCTTAACCAATGCCGCTGGAAATTACGCACATCCAGAAAGCCGTGCGGCTGATGGAAAGTATAAAAAAAAATGTTTTACATAAGTGGATGCTTATTTATTTCGTATATTAAAAAAAAGTGCGCGTTTAATGTTGTGTTCACATCTGCCTCTTTCTCACGAATATCTCCCCTTCCGTAGCAGCACTTCCCCTTTGTGCTGCATCGCAACGAGAGGGCGATTGAGTCAGGGTGCTCTTCGTCTAGCAGTGGATAGATCATGGCTGACGATAACGATGATGAAAACGATGTGAACTCTTGATCCCAGCAGCCCACGCGATGCCAAAGGCAAACATCTCAAACTGGTCCTGGGCTTCACCTAGGTCAACTAAGCCCAAAGCGATGATCCGATATGGTGTGATGCGGTCATACTCGGCGCCGAGGAGACAAAGGCGGTCGGGCACGCCCCTGACAACCTGGGTTCAACACCCGTTCAGCGGCAAACATCTGAACCTGTCCTGGGTCTCCCCTTGGTGGACTCGACCTTTACAATAAAATTGACATGTGCGTGTGTGTGTAAGAGTATCAGCGGCGGATTTAAAACCAATAACAGAAACCTCACGCCACCGTTGAGTTGAAGGTGCCGCGCCGGGAGATTGAACCGGCGACAGCTGTCATCGCGGCCCGTGCCCCTTGCGCCGAACGACTCGGGGCCACATTTGCGAAGACAAAATGTGGCCTTAAAAAAAGTTGCGCGTTTTGTTCTTTCAACAACAACACAAAAAAACAAGTATATAGCAGGAGCAGTGATAGTTTAAAAAACAAGTTAATAAATAACAGTGGCTGAGCCGACGGATGATCTGGCAGCGGCAACAGGA